CTTTATTCTATAAACCCATTTGCATGGAAGCGCCCGTTTTCCTGGTGGTAAATCTTGCAAGCGCCAAGTATGATTATTCTCCAAGGCTTGAATTTCGATTTTCATTGCTTCTCTCCATCGGTGATCCGTCATAGCATCCTTGAAACCTTTGGGCTCAGTAGCTGTATCAAGTGCTGCCAAAAAGGCTTTGTGCTTGGATGAGAAATAGGAATAATTAACATAATTTTGAATAGGATAGATCATACCTGCGGACGGCGAGGAGGAGGATTCATTGCAAGGAGCAAGATGTGTACTCATAGAATGACATTGATAATCCTTTAAATATGCAGGGGGTCTATGCTCACGTTGAGATCGAGTATGAGAAAGTGTAGAGTCTTGCTCCTGCATCGATGTGGATTCTAAACTGGCATTGTTACTAGGCATAGAAGAGGGTGAAATGCTCCCCCTTTCACCATTATTGTTCGAAGCTGGAACAGGAAGAAAAGGTGGTGCATTAGTTCCACTATTTTCAGCATGTGGACTAGCTTCCTCATCACATAAAGGCTCCAAAGGACTAGCTTCATAGGAAGCAGGCAAGGTAACCTGCATTGGTGTAATAAGGTTAACTTGGTTGGGAGCAAAAGGAAATATTTCCTCATGAAACACCACATCTCGCGAGACAAATACAGATTGTGACTCCAAATCATACACTCTCCAACCCTTTTTGCCAAAAGGATATCCAATAAATAAGCAACGACGGGACCTAGCCGCGAATTTGTCTGATGGCTTGGGATTGATATAAACGTAACACAAGCATCCAAAGACACAAAGATGATTATAGCATGGTGCACTTCCAAATAATAACTCATGAGGTGTTTTTCCCTGTAAGAGTGGTGTTGGTGTTCGATTTATAAGATGAGCAGCGGTCAAAACACACTCTCCCCAAAATTCAATGGGAAGGCTGGCTTGAAATCGTAAAGCACGTGCTACATTAAGGATATGTCTATGTTTACGTTCAGCACGACCGTTCTGTTGAGGTGTATAAGTGCAGGTAGTTTGATGCAATATTCCCATATCAGTATATAAGGCAAGTAAATTATGGTGTTTAAATTCATTACCGTTGTCGGTTCGAAAAATCTTAACAGTACTCCCAATTTGAGTTTTAGCCATAGCAAAGAAGTTTTTAATAATTGCCAATGTTTCACGTTTGTCGGTCATCAAATAAACCCATACTGCACGGCTGAAATCATCCACAAAAGTTAAAAAATAATGAGCACCAGATAAGCTACTCATTGTATATGGGCCCCAAATGTCACAATGCAAAACTTCGAAAGGATAATTGCTATGAAAATTACTCAAAGAGAAGGAACTACGCGAATGTTTGGCTTTATGACAAACATCACAAACAACATCAAGTTTATTCAAACGAACATTAGGAATAAAATTCAGATTCTGAAATGAAGCATGACTCATCCGTAAATGCCATAGTTTTGGAGACTCAAACTTGACCGCTGCACATCCATAAGGTTTGCAGTCTTGGTATATATATACTCCATTACGTTGTATCCCCAGTCCAATCTGAGTCTTCGAAGACAGGTCCTGCAAAATACATGCTTTATTAGTGAACACTATTTGCCAATGGTCCTTATCAAGGAGTTGAGCGACAGACACCAAATTGCATTGTAAATCTGGCACATACAAAACGTCTTTAACACATAAATCAGATGTAAGAATGGTGCAACCCTTCTTAGTTGTTAGTGCCTTCGAACCATTTGGCAACCCAATCATAACAGATTGGATATCTTTTACTTCAGTCAGTAGGTCGATCCTCCCTGTCATATGATGGGAAGCACCACTATCAATTAACCAAACGGGGTTTATAGTGACCTTACCAGATAGTCTTTCAGTGTCGGGCTTTGGGTTGTTTACAAGAGAAAGCAATCTTTCGATCACTTCAGGTGTCAATGCACTATAAGTGTCATCAGCTTTAACAGCGTGCGCCTGCACCATAGAGCCTCGTCCAGCATTTGATCGTCCACGCCCACGACCTTTCACAGACTTGTCAGGGTACCCATGGAGCTCCCAACATTTACTCACATCATGGTTGTGTTTTCAACAATGAGAACATGACTGTTTTTCCTTATGAGCAGCACCAGATTGTATATGAATGCCCTGTAGAGGCTGTTGTTGTATCGTTTGCATAGCATAACCCATTCCATCTAATCTATCATTTTGCGTTCTGGCTATTGCACGATGAGTCTCCTCTTGCGTCACCATTGCATAGACACGGTTAATATTTGGCAAGGGAGTGGTATTTAGAATCTGGGTACGAAGATGTCCAAAGGTTGCATCATCCAATCCCAAGAGAAATTGGTATACATGATCCTTTTGCTTCTCTTCAGCAACATGCTTCACCATGGGACACTCCTGTCCATTTGAGCACTTATGGTCAGTTTCGTGAGCCTCTAACTCATCCCATATAGCACGTAGCTTCATGTAGTAATTTGCCACCGACATGCCTTCTTATTTCATTGTGACAAGGCTAACCTTAAGCTGGTACATTCGCGGAGCATTTTCAACTGAAAAACGCTCTTTCAGGTCATCCCACACTTCCCTGGCAGTGTCAAAATAAGGAATAAAAGGCTGCAACTGTATGTCTACAGTGTTGTGTATCCAACCATTCACCATGGAGTTACATATTGTCCATGCGTGACCTTCTTCAGAGGTTTCATCCTTTGGTTTCTGAATTGACCCTGTGATAAAGCCAAGTTTATTCTTGGCACGTAAAGCGTTTTTCATTGCCCTGGAACAACTTTCATAGTTGCTCTCCCCCTTCAACACGACATTAGTGAGAAGGATACCCGGATTGTCTGAGGCTCCCACAAAGAATGGAGATCTAGAGTCACTTTGAACTGCAAAGAGACATCAGAGTCTTTTGCCATTAGAGCTTTACGTTCAAGAGATTACGCACCGGATAGTTGCTCTGATACCATAATACAATTGGTATCAATCTTGGCTCTTTTGCATTGAAAGGGTGCGTCTAATATAGACGACTTTTGGGTTACAATGGGTAAGAATAATATAAAATTAATTTACAACGGTAACTTATTTAATGATAATAAATAGCACAACAAACTGGTATACATTTATCCTATAACCGATAAAGTGGTAATTACTATCCTATAAGTATAGCTGTCAATCTAAGTGTAGCACTTAGCTGTCAATCAATCTCTAACATTTACCCTCAAATGAAGTTGAAGTTTAATTTTGGGATTTATTTTAGACTATAGCTGCAAATAGCAAGTGGCGAATCTATGATTTTTTGTGATGGACAACGAAAATAAAATATCGAAGTCACTAGTGTTATTAAAAATAATAAGATGAATTAATTATTATAAGTATTTTTTAGGAATGAGCTAACTATTAGCGTTAATAATTTATTATTAATAAATAAATAATTATATATAATAATAAAATAATCAAAATTTAAGATTACCAAAAAAAAAAAAAATTAGAAAGAGCCACCGTCAATGCTCGTTCCTCTGTCGATCCACCGTGCAAGTAGCTTGGAATTGAATATCACACCCATGTGAAGAGAGAGAAAAGTCAATGGCAGTTAATTCGTTAGCAAAAATATGACTTTTTATTCTAAAATAAATCTCGACTTACATGTTTTAACATGTATTTCCTTAGGTACGATGATTCACTTACATTTAAATTTATAATCTTTTACAAATTACTCAAATCATTTATTATTGCTCTACACTCAACCTTTCAATTATTGCTAGGGTATCAGAATAAACTTTTAGGCCAGATTGATCATAATTATGTTACTAGGGAATTTAAATCCATCGGAGAATAATACCTTTTTTTTGGTTTTTCAGGGTAATCCTCTCTCTTTTGATGAGACTATCCCTCCTCACTCTTTTGGATGAGACTATTCCTGCGTGCCATAAAACGTGACATGAAGGTTTTTATCATTGACCTTTCATTCACAATAATTCACTCATTAGTAGGGGTGAAACTGGGCCGGGCCGGCCTATAGGAGCCTACGGCGCGGCCCACGTCAGGCCAGATCTGACCTAGTATATTTCGTAAAATAGGCCGGGCTTGGGCCTTGAAAAAGCTTGTTTAATAAAAAAGTCGTAGGCCTACTTTCACAAGGCCTGACCCATAAGCCTACAGGCCGGCCTATATACTATTTATTTTAAATAAAATAGAATAAGTATGCGTTGAAGAAAAAACAAAAGATATAAATTTAATCAATTGCAAATATTTATAACTTAATTATATTCGATTATATTTTAATAGAATCTGACTTTATTTCTTACGTAGAAGGAACCAACATCTCAGCATAAGCTTCATGATGTGTTTGTTGGATTCATGTAATTATTTTAATTTACATAGTATAGATTTATTTGTTGAATCTGATGGAATACATGTTATTTAGTTTGAGCATTTTACTTTTGAAAGTGACTTAAATGCAGATTGTATGAGTTTTGTTGTGATTCATGAATTTGTTTGGACGTTGAAATTATGATTTTAGGTACAGAATTTGAGTATTTTGTAAAGATGATTCATGATTCTGCTTGAAAGTTAAAAATTAACAGGCTAATGGGCTAGGCCAGGCCAATTGTTTTTTATAAAAGGGTCAAGTCAGGCTAACAGTTAAACTCATACAAGGTTTGGGCTAGGCCAAATTAAAAAAAATTTGCGTAGGCTTGAGCTTTTCGGAGCAAAGCTTGGCTCAGCCCAACCCACTTTCACCCCTACTCATTAGGCACGGTCCGCTTGTGTGAACTGTGTCACCGAATAATATTTTAGATATAGAAAGAGATAAAACTAGAAATGACATTTCGTATCTCAATGACACCAAAGATAGGATATTAAATGCTTTTTAATGAATGGAATTAATATGGATATGAAATATAGTAAAATAGAACCACTTTGAGTTAGGGAGAACCTGAATCACTATAAATAAGCAAACAAATTCTCATTCCTATCCTCATTCATATTCACTACTCTCTAATTAGGGTTGCCACACCTAAACTGTGTGTGAGTGTGAGTGTTAGTCCCAAACCAAAAAAAAAAAAAAAACATATCTTTCATGGCAAACCAAAACCCTTCTTCAATTCCAAGCTCAGACCCTGAAACAGCCCAAGCCTCTCCAACAACATGTACATGTTTCTCAGCCAACGTGATCGTGCAGAAAGTGAAAACCAACTTGGTTTTACGTTCAAAATGGAGTGAACTGAATGGTGCAATGGGTGACCTAGGAACTTATATACCTATAGTGCTTGCTCTTACCCTTGCCAAGAACCTTAACCTTGGAACCACATTGATCTTCACAGGTATATACAACATCATCACTGGTGCAATTTATGGTGTTCCCATGCCTGTCCAGCCCATGAAGGCCATCTCCGCCGCCGCCTTATCGGACCCCGGCTTCGGCGTGCCCGAGATCATGGCTGCCGGAATATTAACCGGCGGCCTGTTGTTGTTTCTTGGTGTAACGGGGTTGATGCAGCTTGTGTACAAGATGATTCCTTTGTGTGTTGTGAGGGGAATTCAACTAGCACAGGGTTTGTCATTTGCTTTCACTGCTGTTAAGTACGTGAGAAAAATCCAAGATTTGCCTAAGTCTAAAGTTTTAGGTGATAGGCACTGGTTAGGATTGGATGGGTTGGTTTTGGCCATTGTTTGTGTTTGTTTTATTGTTATTGTGAATGGTGCTGGTGATAAGGATCAAGGGTGTGGTGATGCTGCAGAAAGTGGTGACACTAGAAGCTATGATTTGGGTGGACAAAGGAGAAATGAACATGAGGGTGTAACAAGAAAGAGGACAAGTAGAGTGAGGAAGATAATTTTCTCACTTCCTTCTGCTTTTATAGTCTTTGTTTTGGGTGTTGTTTTGGCCTTCATAAGAAGGCATGAGGTGGTGCATGAAATTAAGTTTGGACCCTCTTCTATAGAGGTGGTGAAATTCTCTAGGGAAGCATGGAAGAAAGGTTTTATAAAGGGTACAATTCCTCAGCTACCACTGTCAATTTTGAACTCTGTGATAGCTGTTTGTAAATTGTCATCGGATCTGTTCCCAGGAAAGGACTTTTCAGCAACTTCAGTGTCAGTGACGGTGGGGTTGATGAACCTGGTTGGTAGTTGGTTTGGTGCCATGCCATGTTGCCATGGGGCTGGTGGACTTGCAGGGCAGTATAAATTTGGTGGAAGAAGTGGTGCTTGTGTGGCACTTCTTGGTGTTGCCAAATTGGTATTGGGATTGGTGTTGGGAACTTCTTTGGCACACATTTTAATGCAGTTTCCTGTGGGGATCTTAGGTGTGTTGCTATTGTTTGCTGGAATTGAATTAGCTGTATGCTGTAGGGACATGAATACCAAAGAAGATTCCTTTGTGATGCTTATTTGCACTACAGTTTCATTGGTGGGGTCAAGTGCTGGTCTTGGTTTTTTGTGTGGGATGATTATTTATGTGCTTCTTAAGCTAAGGAATTGGACAAAGGATAAACCATTTTCTACCATTTGGGTGCATAAAAGCTCCGAGCAACTTTGAAGAAAATAGGAGTATACTAGAGTATTATTGCTTGCTGTTGCTTATCTTTTGTTTTCTGGTGTCATTAATTACTAAATCAATCAGCACGGATGAGTTTCAAGAATAATGTTTTCTAAAGTGTTTTTCCTTTTTTCTTTTTGGTTCAATTTCTTTTTCTTTGTTGGTATTTGATGCTAAAACGAAGGTTTGTTTGTGGACTTAATGATGTTGTAGTTAGTAGGATGTAGTGTTTGTAGTGCTTACTCTGTTACTATATAAAAAAAGTTGCTTCAGTTAAAGAATCTCTTACAACATTTTTTTGTTGGTGGAGGATGAACTTCTTTAAATGGGGAGTATTTTTTGGTTTTTTTTTTTTGATTTTTTTTTGTTTTTATGGAGGATGGACTTATTTATGTCTATGCTCATTTATGTGCAAGATGTTGATCAATGGGTAGTTTATTGTATTCATAAGAAAAGGAAAAAAACAACAAAAAGAATAACTTTCCAATGAAAATTGAAAATTGGTTGATCGAATAATTCTATTTTGAAAAGACCATCAACTTTACTGCAAAAATGAGGAATGATGCCATTCCAACTTTTGAAATTCTCCCAAAAGCAAAAAAGAACTAACCTTTACTAGTAGTGTTTTTCTTTCTCTTCCAATTATTTGTTTCAACTCTAAATTATTGTGAAAGCTAATTAAAATTAGTTTTCATGTTGTTGGTTGTCAATGGTCAAGAGTAAGCTTTTTTTGCTTCCACCATACCAATTATCATCAAACAATTAATCCCTCTAACATGGTGAGATGGTGGAAATGAAGAATAAGAATAGATAAAAAATTTATGATAAGATGCCATGGAATATGATCTTAATGATTATTCGTAATCGTTTTAAAAAATTCGGATAGCTTATCTTCCACTCAGCTAGATTACTCTCTAGAGTTCTGTTCATCCACTTTATGTGCAAAGTTGTAAAGATAAAAATATTAACAGGACAAAAAGGAAGAACGGAAAGAAGGTTATGACAAACCACTTATAGGAGTAAAACATGTCTCTTCTTCTAATCGTTCTTCATGCCACATTTATTTCTGGCCTAAACCATTACTGGTTTTTAATTCAAAAGCTTTCCCTCTATCTTTAACCCAAGGGGCAAGAGATTGAAAGGGGTTAAAATCCTTTAAGCACTTGCTGAGTCTAAAGTGGACAACTATCTTCCCCACAAGGCATATTCTCATCTAGATTACTTGGGTGCCTTTAGTTTTTAACTTCAGTTCCTTGACTCCACTCTATTTGTATTACTATTAACAATGTTTGATAACATGGAAAGTTCATGTAATGTGACATTAAACAGTAAGAAACCAATCTTAATCTTTAAAATTATGGACGATACTCCTATCATTGATCTATACTTCATTATATGCTAGTTGAGGTCTCAAGGTTACATTTCAATCATATAGGGAGAGGCTAGGCACGTATAGATTTTGCAGTGGAAGTCCCTCTATCTCTGTTATCAAGTTGCTTCTAACAATTAGAAACATGGAATTGGAATAATCTAAAGTTATTATGTTTGTCATATAACTCAACTTGCAAGAGCATCCTATTCCTATATAGACAACTTTATAGATGTTTCTGTCACAAATGTATGTTTAACTGGCAGATAGTGATGGAAGTTAATTGCAGCACCTTCACTAATGAGAACATTTTAGAGCAAGTTGAAGGGATGGAAAAGTTACTCGTGATCTTTCTCATAGGATACTTCTACTTAACTCCCACTGTATGCCATGCATATATTTAGTAAGTAATTTTAATAGAGATAATTAGTATTGGCTGGAATCAAAAGGCAAGTAGGAAAAAAAACAAATTGTACAAGTGACATTAGTATAGTATTAATATTACATCTCTTCAATACTATTCAACCTTCTAAGAGAGAGACAAAACAGAAAGAAAGCATAGGTTATTATTTAGCAGCAACTTATACTTTATTAACATATGGATGTCAGTGCACATGATAAGTATATATCAACACTTACCAGAAAAACAAATAAACTAATCAGTTGTAGAGTAGAATGTTTTGCCTGCAACTACATCCATGTTATATTTGGAAATCAAATCAACATTTCCTTTGGAAACAATTATAGCAAAAGAGATAATTTTGTTATTCCCCCCCACTTAGTTCTTTCCCATGATGAACAAAGAGAAGATTTTTGAATTGCATTGTTATGTACTGTAACAATTTACAACAAATTCCAATAAATACAGTTCACAACCATGTAGGTTTACATTGCATGGTAAATCAGTTCATTAGAAACCCCGTTATTTTTACCCGTGTGTCAGATTTTATGCATGCACTAGAGAATATTTCCATGCCATGTTCTTTTATATTTACATTAGACAGGAAACTATCTCAACTTGGCCGAGGATCATATTGATTTCCCAATTTCACAAGACCGAAGATTGTGACAGTAGTGTGCCAAATTGTTTAAACTAATCAAATGGGTTTCTTCTTGTATTTGAAAAAGAATTTGGAGTTCTGGGTGTCACATATCCCCCATTGGACTGTTGAATGGTGTCTAGAGATCCAAAGCCAGTTTTGTCACTATTGAAGTTGTCAACACTTTGTGATCTACAAAATATTATAAAGCAATTACAAATAAGAGACTTTTTTATTATCATATAATTAAAATAAAATGAACTTTTTTTCTTCTTAATATCCCTCTTTTAGGTGCCATTTCTGATACTAAGAAATTACATGTCCATTATTTTAAATAAAGAGAAACTAGCTTGGTGACATGCTTCATTGCTTATAATCCGGTGACTATACTAGAAAGAATCCAAAATAGTATCAAGAATAGGATTTACCTAGTATGTTGCTCCTCATTATTAACTTGATCAAAGTACACACCTGAGAGAATTGAACAAGAAATAACCATGACAAAAGCTAACAAAGAAAAAGTCTTCAAAGGAAATGGAAGATAACAAGGACAATACCAGTTGGAACTCCAGATGCAAAGGGAGATCGTGGAGGAACTGGGGATCCATAACTTGAGGACTGAGGCACCATTGCATCTAAAGACCCAAGGCTTGAAGCATGCATTAGTCCTGTTCTGGTTGATACAGGAGGCAGCAGTTCACCGAGCAAAGGTGCCATGGTAGGAAACTATATATAGACAAATACCACCAAATCTTGAAGATTAGAACTATTTAATGGCTTCATTTAAAGATGTAAATTCAAAGAACACTAGCCTGATAACACTGCAGAGAGAGAATATGATGAAAGCTTTTAATTCAAGCTAAGCAAGACATGCAAATGAGGTTGTTTGGAGCAAATTTCATTAAAGGAAGAAAAAGGAAAGAAAACAAGATAAGAACATAAAAATAAAAAGAAATAAAAAGAAAGAGATGAAAAGGAACATCAACATTGTTATAAAGAACCTTGGGATACACCACCTCAAAAGCTAGCTCAAAGGGTGGGAGTGCCCAAAGTCTTATAAACTCCACATTAGTTACTCATACAACCAATGTGAGACTATATATCTCAACATGCCCCCTCACACAAGAGCCCATTGGACTTGAAGAGTGGATGATGCAACAGGCCCAGCCTACCTGTGCTAAGAAATTCCACAAGAGAAAATGAGGGGCGGCGAGGCTCTGAAACCATGTAAAGAACCTTGGGATACACCACCCCAAAAGCTAGCTCAAAGGGTGGGAGTGCCCAAGGCCTTATAAATTCCACATTAGTTGCTCATACAACCAATGTAGGACTATATATCTCAAGAGTTGTAATGCCTCCAACTTCTGAATGTCTGTCACCTTAAGTCATTATACTCCTTCAAAAGGAGACATTGAGAAGAGACGGGGATTAAGTCTAACTTAGGATACAGTAATTTATGTGAATATTCATCTCAATGGCTCTGATTTGCATAAAAACTGTTCTCATTTGTCAACTTGTGAGTTATTTTTACTCATTCTATGCTTTGAACTGCCACAGAAGTTTCACATTTAATTGCAGAAATGAGCTAAAATAACTAACAAAAGCCGAAAAGGGTTGCAACAAAACTACAGCAAGGATTACTACATCAAATCAGTTTATTGCCATACATACCGATGAGGCATGTATTATAGTTCTCCCCTCAGTTACTTCAAATGGATTTGTGGACTTAGGTACAATAGGGAATGCTGAGGGAGGCTGTAAATGAAACATCAAATCAATTAATCAGCATTTTATATCAAAACCAAGATAAAAGACAAATAAACTAATTAATGAGGAGCATAGAATGTACCACTGCATTAGGATACTGCATGCCATATCCCATACCATGATGTTGAACATTCTGCCAACCTGCATGTGGTGCAGGGCTACATATGTATCTAGAAGTAAAAAGGTCCTGCAGAGAATTTATTTATCCATTAAGGTTCTTTGTCTTTTAAAAAAACTGTTATGACATGTGTCTACATCTATTACCTCTGGAAGTTCCTTTCTTCCACTTGACCTGGTTTCCACTTTACTAGGTTGGGAGCTAACATCAGGTCTGGTGTCTTCAGTAGGTTTTGAGGTGGTTTGAGAAGATAGTTCAGTAAAAGCACTTGAAGAGTCATGTGTATCAGGAGCAACTGATGGCTGAATATGCAATCAAATTAAAGAACAAGATGAGTAACTATGCAAGAAGATATAAAGGAATGAAATTAAGGCTCTCGAATAGCAAGACAATGTTGGTATTTGCTTCTTCTTCTTCTTCTTCTAAATATTTCAATATATAAGATTAGAAAGTTCTATTGGCAATGTTACTTCCCAGTTATAGGATGAAACAAAGGTATGCGCGAGATTTGACCAAAGAAGTTGACAGTAATATCGAGATTTCAACACTTTATATCAAGAAAGCCATGCTGCATATCTCACCTGATTATTTGAAGCTACAGGTTTGACTGGTGTATTTGATGGTTGTGTGGTTGAACTACAACCTTCTGATACAGAAGGAAGATATTGCATGCTTGATGGTTTATGTGCATGTGAAACGTCAATGGAGCCTTCTGCTTCATATAGCTCAGCATGTGGTGAAATTGCATTAGAAGATTGTGCCAGCTCAGTGGCAGTTGTTGATGTAATTGACCAAACATCAGTATTGTTGGGAGATGCAGTTGTTTGCCCAATTGAAGTAGGTGGAAAATCCCAAGTAGAGGTATTTTCTACTGTTGTAGTTGTTGTATCATTATCACCACCACTAGTGACTTCTGATACGCCACTAGTCATTTGAGTCAAAGGGCCTGACAATTCAAAAAGTAAAAGATCTAAAGGATTTGCAAATTTTGCTTCAGGTTTCGCCTCTATTGTAGAAGATGTCAAGGTATTTGTGTTTGGAGTTTTAGGAACATTGGCCTCTGAAGAAGCTGCAAATGAGGCCCAGTTACTTTCAGTTGATTGTGATATACCCGGTGATTCTGGTCCAACTCCAGCAGTAGAATCAGAAGCCTGAGACTTGGCACTCAAATCAACAAAGCTTTCTGGATTACTAATTTTTTGTTCAGATGGATTTTCCTCAACAGAACCCTCTCCACCAGAAGGTGTGACCTTCTGCAATTAAAATTCATCAAATATTTAGCTCATGTGATGGTAATTTATAACTTCAAGGGGACGACCCAGAGCAGTGGTAAAACTGTTCCTTCATGACTGAAAAGTCATAGGTTAGAATCTAGGAAACAGCCTATTTGCAATTATGCAAGGGTAAGGCTGCGTATAAGGATTTCCTCCACCCCACACTCGCTAGTCGGGTTTAACGGGGAGTGGTGGATGGTAATTTATAACTTCATAAGATTGCACTATGGTCTTCTAAAATACAAACTCTATAAGACATGCATCACAAAGTACATCAAGAAATGAAAATCAAATGAGACGCGTAAAGAACTACTTCAACCCAAAACCTTAAGGTGTGAGGTGAATTTACATTAATGGTTTTATATATTTTTAACAAGAGGAATACATGCAAAACACTAAATTAAGCATGATGGAAATAGAGAGGAATACTTCTCTAAAAGATGTCTTAGCAACATGGGGTTGGGATCTGTCCACATTCTTCTGACCATCAAGTGAAAGATGTCTTAGCTTTGATTCTAAATTTGACAGCCTCCGATTTCTAAAGTCGTCATCTCGAAACCTATCATCAACAACCTCAAATTTTATAGGACTTTTGCTTTGGCCACCAAGCCTTGAATATTTTTGCACATATTTAGGACTTCTGCTTTCATCATATAAATATCTGAAACTCTTGTCATCACTTCTTGGACCAGGGCTTGAATGAGGACTTTTGAAATCAAAACGAAGTGAGTTACTCTTCCTACTTTCACTGAAATCCTCCTTGTCATTCTGTATACAAAAAACACCATAAGGAACTCATTTTCTTTCAGTCATCTTCTTTTATTGTTAAGTAATGACAATAAATGTAAAAATTTGTATAAAAGTTACCAATCTAATCCTGGGAAGATTGCTACAACTCCTTTCACCAGTGAATTTTCTGTCCACATAGACATTCTTGATAAAATCTCTAAGTCTGTGCATGTTACTGGAAGCAAAGATTTGAGTTAGGAAGAGATGCTATATGCTATATATGGACTATTACTGTAAAACAAAAAGATATGCAAAATTACCATGAATCAGGATAAGAATTACGCAGAGGATCCCATTCTTTAAAATAAATCTGCTTTGCTCTCTGTTGCATGGACTAGTGTTAGAAGTTTATTACCAAATTACTAGTAGCTTGGTATTTGAGCCAAAAAAAAAAACAAAGCATGATCATGCACACCTCATTGCCACCTGCTTGAAGAGCAGTGACTTCTTCTTGAGTAAATTTAGCCATTGATACAGATTTTACTCTATGTGTAAACTCTCGACTGTAATTCATATAACTTAGTAAGTAAAATTAAATGACTATGAATAAGGATCAGAAAATCCATACTGATATACAAATAAAAATTTTGTGCAAAGTGCACAATTAAATTAAGTAAATAAAAAAAGGATAAAGTAAACATAAACAGAAGTATATATATATAGGCTTGTCATTTCTGCAGCCGCCGTAGATAACACTCTCTACAGCTGACACAGAAATCCGGTGCCGTATCCTAGCTAGCTGTAGGTGCAGCGGCTACAGAAATCATTTTGCCTATATATATATATATATATATATATATATATATATATATCAATCCTTCAAGAGCCTCAATAAACGTAAAATGATTTGTATGCTTACTGTATGCCACTGCAATTTGTGCAGACAAATGTTGAGAAAGTTGTACATACATACTGTGGTCCCTGATTCGTAGACAATGTTATATCAGATATATTGTCACATGAAAATGTTGCATATATAATATATAAGAAATTAAAATCTAGTAGTTTAACATAGATGGATGCAATTTAACACAGATTATACTCTTCACATAGAAAATTCCTATTTATTGTGAGAGTAAGAGGAACAAATCCTCTGATAACAGTCATCATAATGCAACATAAAATGCAGTGTTGGACTATTGTGAAGTCATGCAACAATTTTATTTTATTTTTTATGATAATAGAATTGCTATAAGGAATAGTTTTATACCAAGATATTGCAGTTGATGCATCTTCGATTTTCGGGAAGTTTTAAAAGACCCCGAATTATTCTTTCAATCCTTTCATCTTCTTTCTTTCCAATTCCCATTTTTCAATTGCTCAGAACCGTAGCCACAATTAACATCAAACCATATTAAGAAAATATGCCTTTACATGCCAAAATGAAACAAAAGAGAAAAGCTATTAGAAAATGAACCTGAATCAAAATATAAGCTTATTGATGATGTGCAAAGAGAAACAAAATATAATATATGATGGTAGTGAATAATGATGGCAATGAACATTGATAGCAATGCCAGAATCGCTGATGTGCACAAGAAAGTTTGGTTGTTTAAGCGTAGGAGGGAAAGTTGCCGGTAATAACGGTAACGCGAACTTTTCTTTACTTCTTTTGGCCATTGGACTTTACATAATATTAGTGCTCTTTTGTAATTTGTTTCTTTTTTATTTTTGTTTTATTTAGGCTAATTTGGGAGGGGGGAAAACCAATGATGTTAAGAATTAAAAATATTTATCAAACATAAAATTAATTATTTAACTACTCTTCTATTATAGAAACCAAGGAAAGACTTATTTTATATTCATGAAAGAATATAGCTAACAATAACAAATTTCTTTTTTTGTATAAATAATACTAATAAGATGAGAAAAGAGAAAGAAATATTTGTTCATTGATAAATCTTTTCATTTTGCCAAAGTTAATTTGAATATTCATTTTAATAACTAAGTTTTCAAAGAGAAACGTTAATTATAATAAATAACCCTAACCGGTGTAATATGAATTTTTGAGATGATTAATGATTTAATCATGTAATTAATGGTACAATTAGGTTGAAAATCTAATTAGATAAAATTAAAGCAATTTTTGAAAAAAGTGCAAATAGTGAGAGTTTTGAGGTAAAAATGCGGGTAGGCAAAAATAACCCGAAACTTAAAAATAGTTGGATAAAATATAATAAAGTAATTTTAGTAAAAACCTTAAATCAAATTACATGAGTAAAATAGATGAGAGTACGTGACTGAAAATACGCATGTGTTGCTTTGACTTTAGTGGCTATTAGATATTTAGTTAGAAAAAACTAAGTTTAAAGAAAAAAAGCAATTGCATTTCCTCTTTCTTCATGCGTTCTTCTTCCTCGAGCCCGAGACCTTCCATGACCTTGAGCTTGGATTTCTATTTTCTTATATAGTTATCCAATCAACAAACTTCCAACTAGAGAATCGCTTAGAACAATTATATAATAACTCTCACATGTAGTTATGGATTTAATATTGAAGAATAATTATAAGGAAACAAAAAGAAAAAATAAATAAAGTCATTTTTGGTGAAAAAAGAGTTAGGATTCGTTTGGATGGACTTTTGAAAAAAGAACTTTTTATGAGTTACTTTTTTTAAAAGAACTTTTTTTAAAAAGTTAAAGTTATTTTGCGTTTGGATATAATATTTAAAAATTGCTTTTAAGTAAAAATGTTATTTAGATGTTAAAATAAAAAAGTATTTTTTAAATATAAAATTACTATTGTGTCCTTTTTTTTCTTTGACACACTCCGATTGAAGAAGCAAACAACAATGGCTTTTGAGAATTTAAGGTTTTCTCTTCCAAAAATTAAAGCCTATTTGTATAAACATAGCACTTCAAATCACAAAACTGCAAAAAATCAACAGGAACCTTCAAATCATAAAACTACAAAAATCAAAGCACCATAGATCGATTCACACAAATCTTAACAATAGCAGCAAGGAAGAGAGAGGCAACGAAGGAAATGAAAAAATGAAAACTAATGGAAGGGAAAGAGAGAATAGCGGGAATGAGAAGAGAGAATAAAAAATGGAAGTAAGAGAAAATGAAAATAAGAACAAAAGTAGTGATTCACACAAACAGAGCAGAAGTAGCAGAGGTGAAGGAATGGAAAGTTGGGAGAAGAGAAAAAAATGAAAAGGCTGAAGGGAGAACAAGAACGCTGCTCCCGGCTAAGATGGATCCTCGAAGAGAGATGAATAAAATTGGTAAGAAAAAAATTTTAATTGCTTTTGGCTTATGCTTATTTCAAAAGTTAAAATTTTTAACTTTTCAAAAAAGTCAAATTTTAGCTTTTTAACTTGTTTTTGCTTTTATTAAAAGCTCACATCCAAATAAGCTAAAATTTCTAAAAGCACTTTTTTTTATAATAAAAAGTAGCTTCTGGAGGGCAAGAAGCCCATCCAAACGTACACTTAAAATGACAGTTAATGGGTAAAAATATGAGTAGCAAAATTACCCAAAAAGTAAAAGTAAATATAGAAACATGACTAGATAAATATTCTAATCTGAGGGTAAAGTTTGGTAATGAATGGAGATGTATAGATAGATAAACTTATACGCATTGGTATAGTGAATTGATTTAAGTGACTCAAGTGAAGTCATTATTCCCCTTCTCTTCCACGATCAACGACAGAGAGTAAAAGAGTGAAAATGGAGATTTTGATTTAAAATCTTACAAAATTCATAATTTGAGTTAGAGACCTCCAAATCACTTCGTTCCAAAGCCAAAATTGTGAGAAATTTCGAGAGGAATCCATTGGTATCAGTATTTTCGTGTAGGATTCACTGTAGAGAAAGTTCACCCTCTCCTAAGATTTCGAATTTCATGGAAAAGATTTGAGGCCATGGGAGCTTAGAAACTCATCTCTCCTTTGTCTAGAGTGTATTGTGGTAAGAAATTCTCTTCTTTTTCATGTTTTTATGAAGATTGAACTTAGGTTTCCATTTTAAAAGTTTGGCTTGATTGAGCATATTAGAGCTTGATTAAGGCTTAGCTCATGTTAAGAAAAGTGTTTAGATGAGGGTTTTAACGGTGAAAATGTATTTGAAAAATTAAAGATACTGTATTTTTGAATAGTGTCGTATACATTAATAGTGACATATATGTGAATCGTACTGTAGAGATGAACAGTACCATATGTATGCATTGATGATGGATAATAATGGAAATGTGTTCCTTGGTTATAGTGTGAGACCAAGTGAACTTGTGGAGCAAGAGCATGGACATTGAGCAAGGCTCTTGATTACTTGAGATTGAGGTAAGTATCAAACAATGGTTTGATGTGAAACTTATATGAAATGGATATATGTTTAATTGTGATAAATTCACCATGGATAGGTGTGTTGGTCATTTGTTGAACATTTTGTTGGCTTGTGGACCCTTTGACTTGAAAAAGGCTAGAAAAATAGCTATTCCAGGTAAGCTTTTAGTCTTTGGGGTTAATCCCCTGTTTATTCCACCAGACTCCGAGGGAGGATGGTAGTTTGATATGGTATGTTGAAAATAAATTGTTATATGTTGCATGTATATGTATGTATGTTTGTGTGCCACACATGACGGTGTTTACTTGTGTGAGGCATAAGATGGTGTTTCCTTATGCATAGTATGTGACGGTGTTTCCTTGCGCAATGCGTACTTGTTATATTCTCTGGCCAGTAAGATTACATTATTGCACACTGTATTGTTATACATATTCTGATGCATGCATGGATTTTTATATTGTGTTTATACCAAAAGTGAGCTTAGGGGTGGAGGAGCTCTCCAAGGGTCCCTAGCTTACCGAGGTAATTATTTTATCTCACCCCGCGTTATGGGGATTACCATTTCAGGTACAAGAGCTGATGGTGTTGAGGCATCGCATGGCAAGAAGCCATACGAGAGATATTACCTGACCTGGTAGTCGGGATTAACTTGTTATGCTGATACATATTTGGCATGGTTTTATTTTGGATATGTATCTATATGCCATGTCAATATTTTGAAAGCATAGGGCATGTCTATGCCATTTTGATAGTTTATCTATTTTGTTAGTTATGTCTGTATATGTCTAGGGTACTTATTTGATTACATCTTTTTTGGTTAGTTGATGTAATCATGTAAGTAACTCTATGAATATTATTTTGAGACATGTTATGATTATGAGATAGCCTACGCCATGGATAACTGGGTAATATGGTTTATGTCTGGATTATATTAAACTGTCAATCAAGTTAAAATTATCACGATGGGAATTATTCCCAATGGTCCAAAATACAGATAAATGTTGTCCGTTTTATTTTGGCCATGGAAGTGAAAAAGTTTGCAATACATAAGAAAAAAGAGAAAATTTATTCAGTTAGCTTTCGCATTAATTAAGTTGAGCATGTTGTGCATACTATCATATGAATGTTAATTAACCGGCTGCAGACAGGGCGTTACAAATCACTAGAAAAAGATAACCCCTACTTCAAATATCTTTGAAAGTGAGTGTGTGAAGAGGAAAAGATAGGGGAAAGTGGCGGTTTTTATGAGTTTGTGAGCAATGGAGGCTTGATTGATCTCACCCAAAGGTTGGAATCTACTCCTTGCTTGATTGTGAAGCTGTAACATCCCAAGCGCTGACGAGAGCGGAGTGATCGCCAGCGCGAAAGGGTATGGTGCGAAAGGGCACAGACAAGGAGCGACTCCTGACAGGCTTCCAACGGAAGGTTACATGAATGAATCGAATCGACTCCCGAAAGAGAGAGATTCCAAAGACTGTGCAGGTATGAGACTGAATAGTTGGGGATAGCTTATAAGAATTAATTGGTACTACTTATACTAACAAGATGCATCTACTTTTCGATAGCCCGGAACAGAAGAACTCCATAGTTAAGCTTGCTTGACTTGTAGTAATTCTGGGATGAGTGACCTCCTGGGAAGTTTTCTCAGAAAGTGTGCGAGTTAGGATAAAAGCACGCTGCAAAGTCCCGTGTTAGTGTGTGGGGATAGTCATTGATTCTTGAAATAGTTGGGCATTACAAGTGGTATCAAAGCAGGGCCTCTCTCCCAATACGGTGTGGTTCGAGGACGAACCAGGCAGAAGCTGGAGAGCATGTAACATCTTGAGTGCTGACGAAGGCGGGGAGTGATCGCCGGTGCGAAAGGGCATAGTGCAAAAGGGCACAAACAAGTAGTGGCTCTTGAAAGGCTTCCAACGGGGGGTTGCATGAGTGAATCAAATCGACATCCGAAAGAGAAAGATTCCAAAGACTATGCAGGTATGAGACTGCTCAGTTGGGGATAGCTTATAAGAATTAATTGGTACTACCTATACTAACTAGATGTATCTACTTTTCGGTAGCTTAGAACGGAAGAACTCCATAGTTAAGCATGCTTGACTTGCAGTAATTCTGGGATGGGTGACCTCCTGGGAAGTTTTCCTAGGAAGTGTGCGAGTGAGGATAAAAGCACGCTGAAAAGTCTCATGTTAATGTGTGAGGATAATCATTGTTAGTTTAGTATATTTTCTTGGATGATGATGTTGGGATAGTATCAAGCCTTATTTCATGTCGGATTATATGCTAAGGAAGGTAAATGAATGGTGGAAATGAAATCAAATCGTCATTTTCTCATTGTCCCTCACTTTCGAAAATATCAAGTGGAAATGGCTTGATTTCTTGCAATGCAAATAATAGGCTATTGGAATTTATGTTCATTGTTTGATGTTTTATAATGGATTGTATGTTGACCACACTGGTGACTTTGATAGGTCATCCTAGTGGAATCTAGAGGGTGGATTCTTGGACAAGTGTTTGGACACTTTGAGATGCAAAGTGAGTGCATTGAGTAAAAGCTACTGTAAGTAAGCTTTCGGACCTTGAAATTTATCTCGTGCTTGTTCCACCATGCCTTGGAGGGGTAGTGGTTTATGTGGCATATGTAATTGCATAGATTGAAGTGATGCATTTGATATATGTATGTGTATGCTATGTTTTTGCACTTGGTATGTATCAAGGAGATTTCCTTGTGTAATTCATAGAATTGTAGTTTCTTTGGCCATTAGGATTTATTGCGGTATGAGCATTTTGGAGGAGTGTTTGGATGAATATTATTTTCATAGCATGAATATGTATATTTGTATCATATGATTTATTGCTTTTATGCTGAAGTGAACTTGGGGGTGAAGGAATCTCCAAGGGCCCCTGGTTTATTGAGATATATATCTCACCCCACGTTATGGGAATTTTAGATATAGGTACCGACGGTGCAGGAGCATCACAGGGTATGCGATAGGGCTAGATTTCCATGACATTGCATGAATGTGGGGTTTATTATGATGTATATATTGATATTTCACATGTCATATATGTATTTTGAAAAATATAAGGGATGTATATACCTCTTTTGATTATGCCTATGGATATACGTTGAGCTATATGTATAAGTTATTTCACTTTTGTATCTTTTGTATACTATTGGTGCATGGTGGAATGACTTAGCCTATGATCATAGTTATTGGATACCTTTCATGTTGTTGATGCATGTAAAGGACTTTGATCATATGTTTTGTATTAGTTAAGTTCCTACTTATGTAGTCTGTGGGCATTTATGTATTTCGATACAATTATGATGGAAGGACTTGCACGCCTATTGGATAGACTGAGATGATGTTAATATTTATCGAACTGTTTATCAAGTTGAGATACCATGTGGGAGTTATTCCTAGATGTCTCGAAAACAAACGGAGCTCTGCCCATTTTGTTTGGGTGATGTTGGTAGGAGATTATCACCTTGTGTGATTAATTATCATCATTGTCATATGAAGCCATGTTGTTATAGGAATTTCATGGTGGTATGATATGTTTAAGCAAGATTAGATGTTTCCGCAATTTGTTCGAGTTATAATCACAATTTGAATATAAATAGGAAAGTGTTTTAATCAGAAAATAATATGCTTTCAAAAGAGAAAAAGTTAAGTCGTATTTAATTCCTCATGTGATTGTAACTGCACATAATATCACACGTAATAATAACAAACCGGTTCTAAAATGAGGTGTTACATTAATAATACATTCATTTCAACACACTCTTTATTTATTTTTTGTGGATGAAACAAGAAAGAAATCAACGCACTCTTTGTTATTAGCTAAATTTTATCGATCTGACAAAATCACATGGACTCATTATCTATTTATTGAAACTCACAAAAAATTTACCTGATAATATTGGGTTGGCTAAAACTTCTAATTTTTTTAATTTTTTTTAGGTTTCTCCACTGGTTCATTCATTAATCAATTTGATCGAGTCGAACATGACCATAAGGGTGACAAAGTTCTTCCCACCAATTTTTTTAACATAGCGACCATTAAGCTGGAACAATCCCATATCAATTGATCCACGTGATTGAACTTCTAGAACTTTAATTCAATTATCCTAACTTTCCCCGTTTTAATATATAAGACTAAATAAGATTGAGAATAAAATTTGATTGCAAAGCATCCGTAAGTTAACGATTTAGTTAACAAAAAGGATGTAACATTTCATGACAGAAGAAAGGTTTGTTTACCAAACACAATACGTGAAAGATGAATTTCTCTAAAATGTATTATGCCATTGGAATAAGTGAAGAAATCAGGATGTAACTTTGCTGAAGACATTGCCGTTGATGCAGAAGTTTTGGCGTAAAGACAACTTGCATTTGTTGTTGATCACACAAATATTCAAGTCATTGGTCCTCACTGCTTGGGTATCCTTAGAGCCTGTTTGGATTCTCTTATTTTTAAGCTAGAAGCTACTTATAAGCTAAAGCTAGAAAAAATAGCTTAAAAAAATAAGCTAAAAGCTGTTTGGAAATTACATAAAAAATTTAGCTTAAAAATTAATTAAAAGCACATATTTCAAGAAAAGTATATCCCTCTTTCTCTTTATCACTCTTCATTTAAAAAAAAAGCACATAATTCAAGAAAAACAGATAAGAGCTTAAAAAAAAGCTCCTCCTAGGAGTTTTTAATTTTCAGCTTTTTTCCTCATTATAAAAAAAAGAGCTTTTAGTTATAAGAGCTTTTTTCAAAATCTGTTTGCCCTAGCTTATGTTTATAAGTAGCTTCTAGCTTAAAAATAAGATGATCCAAACAGGCACTTAGGCTCCTACAAAAATTTTGGGGAAATCAAGATTTTAAAGCAAGCTCTCTTTAAGGAAAGCTGACTTGACTAGATATGACAGACCTTCCAAGAATAGATTCTTCATCTTCAACCCAGCATAAAATACTTACAACCAAAGCACTGATAAGCTGAGAAAGTTAGGCCTTGCTTGCTGCTAGTTCACCAATAATCTTAGAAAATCAAACAAGCTCATAGAGATAAAGATAGAGAGTATATGAGATAGAGGTAACAAAATGGATCCAACTCATCAGTTTGGCTCGTTTAACCTGCCACAAATGATGGGATAGGTTGGAATTTTCGATCCGCCAACCCGCTCTCTATAAGGGCATGTCAAAACATATGATTGTGGGGGTACTTCGCAACCAGAAAAGAACTTGGCTCTCTGGTTTTACCAACAAAATTGGGATATGCAAACCTTTAAAGGCAGAGCTTTGGGTTATTCTTATAGGGATAGAAATGGCTTGGATGATGAAACCAATGAGCCTGATTCAGAAGTAGCCATCAAGCTGATCACTAACCAACTTCCTCCTGCAAATCAGTGTCATCTAGTGACAAATAACCATCACTGGTTATCTAAGAGCTGGCGGATTCAGTTCCAACATATTCAGAGAGACAACCTCAGCTCCAACTGGATTGCTTCGTATGCATTTGGAAGTGGACAGAACTTTAAAATCTTCTATATTGTACCTCAAGATCTAAGCCTCATTATGGGCTCAGAAGTAGTTAATAGACTCTGTTATTTAGTTTGTTTTCTTTCTGGGCATAGCCCCCCTTATTCTAATAAAAAAAAATTAATGTTTTTGATTACTCTTAACATTCTTTTTATTTAATATCTTGTCACTTCTCTGTTCTCTTATTTCCCCTTCCTTAATCTAAATCTATACCCTAGATTATCACATCCCAAAAGGTATGCACCACTAGGGCAGAGGGTGCGTCTACAGAAGTAAACAACTTAGGGCATGTTTGGTGCATAGTATAGGATAAGGCCTGATAGTATAAGACCTGATAGTATAAGGCCTGATTGTATAAGACCTGATTGTATTTTAATACTATCAAGCGTTTGACACGGTATTGTATAAAATAATATATTGTATAAGATAATATCATCTAGTATTTGATAATGCACTATATAATACTATATATGATAAGAATAAATATTTTTAATAAAAATATTCTTTAATAAAGAATTTATATAATTCTTTAAAAAATATCATATGATATTAATTTTTATAAAAATTTATTGATCAGTGTGTCCAAAATATAAATTAATTTTTATGAAAATAAAAATATTCAATATTTTATAAATTAATATATTGAAAAATAAATTTTTATTTTAATAGATTAATATTAAAATAATATATTAATTTTTGAGAATTACATTGGTCAACGATGTTAATACATCAATCTCTTATCAGGTCTAATCCCTCACCCTTAGGCCGGTTAAGTTATACATCGTTTTGATGTATTAAGCGATTATGCTGTATAAGCTTATACTATACGGTGGTCACACCAAACAACTGAAAATGTCATAATGTATAGTATAAGCTTATACTATCATGCTTTATACGTCACACCAGTGAATGGTAATGATCAATTTCGGCAGGTCAGAAAACAGCAAAGTTTGGCATGCAAATCATGCGCTAGTCTACTATTTACCTTAAAACATTTCCATTCAAACTGGTGTTGTGTATTATTTGGCCGATTTCTATTTTCATGTTGAATATTTGAAACTGAGAAAGAGAAGGGGGGGGGGGGGGGGGGGGGGGTAGAAATAAGGGCAAAAAGGAGGGAGAAGGGAATCTGTACAATATAGGCCAGCCAAAAATTCATATTAACCTTCTATACCCTGCATATCAGTGCAAAAATTACTCTGAACCGAGCAGATCTCAAGCTGGAAAAGGTTCTGGTGGACAGTGCTAGGGAATCGAACTTTGAATCTCCCCTCGCCTCACTGAATTTAGATCTCTTGATTGAAGCTCACTTGATATATATGGATAATGAAAAAAGGCCAAAACTCATGACAAAGTAAACCAGACGTCATGTCTAGTCTTGCCTCTTTGCAGCTCCATTGCAAACAGAAGGGATGCTTGAAGTTATCAGAGCGTCAGATGTTTCATCATACTACCCATCACCAACTGAGTCCTCAGAAGCTTTCATTGCTTCAGCAGTCATAAGAGCAACCACAGCCTTGTGAATTGCTAGATCTGCTCTATAGAACAACCTCTGAGCTCTCTCTCTCTTTAACCTAGCCATGTTACGTGCAAGCTGAGCAGCACCTGAGGCATCACGCAGTCTAAACTCATCAAGGTCTGAACCATCCAATTGTTCAATCCCATGCCTCTGAGAGCCATCTAGTACGTACTGCCTGTGACCTGGCAAGTCATAGTTGCCCATATTCCACCTACTAACCCCATTTCTCTTTGCTGACGCTGACATGCTCTGACTATAAGAAGCCGTTGTCTGTGAATCATTATGATACATAAATGACCCCAATTTCTTGGACTTGCTCCTGTGAAATTTTGGGATATGATTTCTATAGTATCCATCATTGGTCATAGAATAATATCTACTGCCAGCATCCCGTGGTGAGAATACCCTCGGTGAAGTTTGAGGCAATGGGGAATCATCCAAAGAATCATAACTATGGCCTGGGTATACAAACTTTTCATCACCAAATTGTAAGCCATTCAATCTTCTTCCTGAGTTTACAATAAGCAGATGTAATGAGAAATTCAATTAAATGTAAAAATAATTAATGAAATCAGCTTGTTAACCAAATACTCACCAGAAGTGTGGAAGCCATCCTGATCTGGAATACAGTTTGTATGCCCAGAGACAGAAATTTTCTTTTGTGACCGATGTTTTAATCCCTTGTTCAGTAGTTCCAAACCTCTTGGTTTCAAACAGAAAGCAAACATGGGCGGCTTCTCCAAAGTTGGAACCTTATATGGGCATCCATTAGAAGTAGGTGTGTTGTTCTTGGTCAGGGCTACTTCCCACTCTCTCACTTCTTGCTGATATCTTTCCCATAGAGGCGGCTGAAAAGCACATCAAAATTTAGAGGTTAAATTTCAGACAAACAATAACCAAGCTCCCACAACCTGTACACAAGAAAACAGGTCCTCTAGAGAAAAGGCAAGGTAAAAAGGCACAAAGTCATCATGCTTGTAGCCAATCAAATATAAAATTACATCCACACATCCACTTGTTCTACTATTATAATTGAAATGATTTCTCCAAAGATGTATCCAGCAACGGAATTTATTGCAAAAATATGCAACAATAGTCATGCAACCATTTAATTTAATTTAAGGAATTGTCACTTGAATAAGCTCTGTTAATTAACAAATATTCCACGAAAGCATTCTAATATAAGAACATTACCACCAAAAACCACAATAAGCAAACTAACAACGAAACCAGCATTTACCATAAATGCACACAGCAAAAGATATCTTTTATTTTGGCATTCTTTTAGGATCCATGGGTTTGTCCAGCTTCGTCGGAACACTTTCTGTCTTTTATTATTAGATGCTTTGGTCGAAGGAGTTCAATTCTTCAACTATTATTATAAATGGAACAAAATGCCATAGTTTTTCATCATGTTTCTTTGATTCATCTTTTGTATGATAGAGTTTTCTTGACTTCCTCGTGGGTAATTAGTGGATTTTTCTTAAAAATTCAGAGAAATTGGACAGCTATTTTAGCTAATGTTCTTATCTTTTGTTTCCTGTGATTTTTTTTATCTTCGATTCTGCTAGGACAGTTTCTTATCCTCTTTTTTAATGTAATTCTCTCCTATCTCTTAACAACCTGATTGTGCATCAAGACTGGTAGCTTTGATTCTGCATTATGTCTGAATTTATTTTGTTAAGTTACTGCAGTGCTTAGTACTGCCAGAATCAAAGACTCAAAGACTGGCCAACCTTTATGAATTGAATAAATATCAAGCAGTAGGTAGAAATCCAAATAAGAGGCATGGTTTTAACCTGGAAGCCATTAATACCATTAAAAAAACATCTTAATTGTTGAGTAGAACAGTAAATAACATACACCACTATTCAATGACTCAAAATACTTGGCCTTAGATTTGAAAGGCATCCAAGACATAAAGTTAAAGTGTAACAAAGCCAAAGATCAATCCACTACTGCAGTACTATTATCTATTCCCTCATCCTCCTCACTCATTAATTATCTCAGCAGAGCCAGTCAATCATTTGACATGAAGTGTCATTAAATGGAAACCAAAGACAACATCAACATCAACAACACCTTTATTCCAAATTGCTGGGGTCGGGGTAGATGAACCCAAATGAAAAGTACGAAAAGATTGAGAAAAAAAAGATAAAAATAAAATTTATATATATATATATATATATATATATATATATATATATAACATTATCCATAAATGGAACCAAAGACATATTCCTAAAACTAAAAATGATCATAACATGCACAAGAAAGGTAATTTGAACAGTACCTGCAAGTGTCGTATTAAAGCCATTCCCTTCTTCTGCCTTCTCTGCTGCCAATGGTCATAAATAATTTTGACAACACACAAAGGCCCAACACTAACCATGAGTTCCTCTATTTCATTAGGTGTAAACTCATCACGTTGCTGAGCATATGCAGCCTTTTCATACACGTTCATTGTCTTCTCAAACATCTCCTCCGAGATCCCATTCAAGTCACTGTTATCTTTTTCAGAATTTTGAATGTTCGAGATCCACTGTTCATCCTCACTATCCATATCATACAGAACATGGGATGGATCCAAAGCCATTTCAACATCTGTTTCAACCTGTCGGAAATACTTACAGCTCCGAACAAAAGTTATCTCGGGTCCATTATCATCATTTTCTTCTATCAAGTAAACACCTGGAATAGGTATGTTTTTGACTGAAGCAGCACGTATGTTCCGGTTGTAGCATTCCTCATGCATCTCCTTGAAAAGAGCCCACTGACTCCTATCAGTAAATTCCAAGATCCAATCCTTCCCTCCTTTCCACATCATAGCATGTGTGAAACGATTTGTTGATCCAGGCTGGAGAAACTGATGTGCTTTGTATGAATACCTTGTAATTCCTAAAAGTTTTACAGAGAGTTTCCACTCATTATGGTCAAACAGCTCTAGTACAACGTGGGCCCCAGATTCTCTCCACCCTTTATCACCAATAGTAATCAAAACATTTGCATCACAAGATACACATTCAAAATTCTTTTTAGGACCCCTAACAACATCTGAAGACTTCTTCTCACTAGCCTTTCTAATTCGTTTGTGAGGAAGCCCTTTCTGATGATGGCTTCTGTGTCTTGAACTAAATTCATGCCCAGCAAAAGGCACTAAATATGACACTTGTGTCCGTGGCTTTTTAGGTCCATTGCTAAAATCATTGTAAAGAGAGTAAGCCTTGCCATCAGACCACCCATGTGACTGGAATCCCAATGACAAGGAACTATTCCGGTTCCGATGCCAAGAACTTCTGGGAGCAGTTGGATTGGAGCTTGGAATGACACCTCCATTTACATTCCAACAGAAATCAGGAGAGTGTTGAGTACCATGTAAATCACTGTCAACAGGTTTCTCAAATTGATCAACTGAGGGAATTTGGACACTGAGATCACCATTAAAAGAATGAGAACAATCATTAGCCTTATCCTGGTGCATTAAAGAACTTGAAGGTAAAGAGCCTATCTCTAGCACTGAATGATGGGATTGCCACTCTGGTGAATGAATAGTACCAAGCCTCTCAGAACCATGGGAAATTGAAGTTCCAGCGCCATTAAGACCATTGTTCTGGCAATTCTGAGAGAGAATTTGATCACTGCAAGTAGAGGGACCAACTAACTCAGCACAACACCATCCATCACCTTCAGCACTGTCTGACAAATTCATCACATCTTTCCTCAGACTAATTTCTGAACTCCTGTTACAGCAATCATCAATGCTAGAACAGTCATCTGTCACCAAACCAGAGTCTTCCTGATTATCTATTGGTGCATGAACACAAAAGTTTATATGAGCTGCTGACTGCTCCATCAGCAACTTAAGATGCAAACAAAGAAAAAATGTAGGTGCAGCAGCAAAAGAAAGAGCAAATGGAGGAAGCTTCCTCTCGCCAGCATCAGAAGACAGACGAGTATCAACTTGAGTGGACACTTTGGAAACACCCATAATGTTAATCTCCGGCCTATTCCTCTTCCGCAAGACCTGTTCATGCAGAATTGGCATGATTTGATTCCCAACAAAACCCAATGTAAGTTAACTTGCAGTGAAATTTGGAAGCTTTGACAGCATATAAAATAATGAATTATAGCAATAAGTGTTAAATATGGAAATAAATTCTTAAAAGGGAGGGTCAAGGTTATGGAATTACCAATCAGGAATATAGAAAAATGGGAATGAGTACCTTGACTGAGGAGGGCTCACTGATGGAAGTCATGGGGAACTCCCTTGATCCCTTTTGAAGTGCCTGAATATTATCATATGTGCATTCAGAAAGGTCGAGTTGCTTACTAAGCAGGCAATGCCTCTTAAGCTTAGAATCTAAGTACACCCACTTAGAGTTCTTCACTCTAGAGAAATTATAGAATGCAAACACAAGTGGCTTCTTAATAACATGAACACTGGAAAACTTGAATCCAATAGACGTAAAAGGCAACTGCAAGTCAACATACTTCTCTTGGTGAGCAGGTTGATGAAATACCCTAAGGACAAAAAAGACAAAGGCAGCAACCATCTTCAAGCAGCCTTCAAAAAATAGAAACCTCAACCCAGCCACATTATCGACAAAAAGCATCTCCAGACAAACTCTCGGCCACTTGGTCATAACTGTACCATATTGAAGCAGCAGAACAGCACACAGCAACCAAAAATTCTCCGATTGAAATGCGTCATTCAATACCAAACGTATTGGAAAGTTTAGGTCAAATTTGAATGATGCTGACTCCATGTCCCAAAAAAAATTTGAAACTTCCGCATTGTAAGTGAACCACAATGGCCCCTCAACCTGAACCCTCCTGTGACTTGGTTCTTTTACATTCTCAACCCCAGCAACCACATCAGCAAAGGAAATAGAACAAGGTGCACTTATAATAACATGTTTCTCTTCAGGCATACGAGGGCATGTTGGAGCTGGCCTTCGAAACCGCTTTCTATAATAGACAATAGGTCGTTTTCCATCTTTAGTGCAAGTGGCGCTTTGCAATGAGGACTTCTCCCTAAAATTATCACCTAATTTATCTTGTGATAAATCACTAGACAAATTATTTTTAACATCCCTCAAGGAACTCTTAGCTAAATGTCCCTTTACTCTAACAGGTTCATCATATAACAATGATGAGGTTGTACTTGGTAGTGTAACAGAAGTTTTCTGTTTCTTAATTCCATGAAAAGGAGAAGATTTAAGCCGATGAGAAGATCGCACCAACCATGAAATTATAGGCTCCGAGTCCATACAGCTCCCACCACAACCATCATCCTCTGTAATTGCTTCTCTTCTTTGCCTTTCTTTTCTGGACTTGCTTCCATTTTGCTGATCAGAACTTCTCCTTTTCGTTAAAGCTCTATCCCTCCTTGCATTTCCAGGAACTTCACTACGATGTAACAGCAGTTTGAACCTCTCATTTTGGAGATTAATCCATTCTTCATCTCGATCATCATATTTAATATGGTGCTGCTTTTTTCCTTCATCATAGTCATCAACAAGGCCATAATACCAACTCTGGTCCAAAGGCCAAAACACTTTAATTTTCCGGTTCAGTAACCAATATGCATCCACATCACCTAACCGAATTTCATAAAAATGGCGCCTCTTCCTGGAATTACCCTTAACTTTGAATTGTTTCCTTGGCCTCAAGACTCTGCCAGTAGTATCAACTGATGCTGATTCTGACCCCGACCGCGACTTCGACCCACGATTAACAACATTTTGACTAGAAGATAGCAAAAAGGACAAACCATTTGCTGATGGCAATGTAGAAGACTTGCTACTAGAAGAAAATCCAGTGCAGCTTGGATCAAACCTTGAAGATAGCATCCTTGCTGCATTCTCTTCAAGATTTTCCTCATCATCTTCCTGCAAATCATCAGATATTTTACAACTATCAATCAAGGGCTCAGCCTCCTTGGCAACCCTAACTCTATCTGAAGCCAGAGCCTTTCTCTTCCTTTCCTTCCTTTGTGACTTTTTTAAAGAGGAATCACCGCTATTTACAACAGAATGAGAGGCATGATCCCCATTCCCCTTGAAATGCTGAACTGAATTTGAATCACTATTCCTATTTTCCTTAAATTCATCAAAATCTTTCTTCTGTTTAATCTTTGAAGACTCAACCCCCCTGGCCAAATCATCACTACATAACTTAGGCACCTGATCAACATGACCAACTTTACAACTAGGTTGCCCAGCCAGATTTGATGCTTGACCAGCTTCAAATTTCTTCCGCCCCACAAAATTCCTCTTTCGCTTCGGAATACGAACAACATCACCACCAACAATAAGTGAAACTCCATTGAGCACACTACTGCTACTCAATTTCTGACTCAACCCCAACTTCAATTCACACAAATCCTGCCTACCAGAACCCGGCCCTTTGTCATATTCTTCATCAAGAAGCTTCTTGCTGCTTGCATCAGCATTATCTAAACTGCTTAAAGACACTTCCTTTCTAGCCTTCTTTCTCTTGTTCTTCTTCTCATCACCACTCCCAGGACTACTACCTATCCTCTTTAAGTTCTTCTTTGAAGTTTCTTTTGTCAATTTTGATTTATATAAACTTTTAAGATCCAGAGATCTCGATTTTTTGGGAATTGCAGTGCCATTGGAGTTCTCTTCTCTACCTTCCATGAACAATCAACAGTACAAACGCCCAGACCAAAATTCCCCCAATTTTCACATTCCATCATACATGCCTGTACATTTTCTTCAGATCTGAAACACCAAACCGACAAAAAATCACAATTAATCCCTCAACCAACCTAAAACTAAGATCTTCATACCTAATCCCCCCATGCATTGCGCTTATTGCATCAAACAACACACCAACATATCAACCACAATATTATACTAAATTCACATACATACCTCAACCGACATATCACGAAACAGTCTATTCGTCCCACAAATCGTCAAAATCACGAGCGTGAATTCATGGATTAGGGTTTGAGAATCTCACGGTCGGCGATTTGAAACCCTAACAGAATCCTAGATTTTGAAATTAAAATTCCCAATAATTTCGATTCCTCTTTTTCTTTTTCCTTTTTTTTCTTTTTTCTTTTTCTTCTTTTTTTAACCGCGAGAGAGCTAGGGTTTCTTTCTGGTTTCACGAGGTAAAGGGTTTAGATCGAAAATACCGAAACTAATTGAAACTGGGAAAAAACAATTGCTCAAAAATGAGAAAACTGTTTGGCACGACACGTGGAGCTTTATGGCCCGTTGGATCAAAAATCTTTTGTGAGGGTCATGATCGTCTGTGTCGAGATCTACCTTAATCGAGTGCGGATGAAAAATTTTGTGCAAGCGATGAAGATATGAACGGCTATGAGTTGACGATTTCAACCGACACGACTTTAGGCAAAACGGGGAAACAGAAAGCTAAATTAACTTGCACAGTGTGGTTTAGCACTTTATCTCACTCGCAAGGGGAAGAGGCTGAGTTGTATGTGTAGGGGTGTAAATGGACTAGGCTGGGCTTTGGTCATTCTAGTCTAAGTGTTAAAAAAAATTCAGACTATCTGGTCTACTGATTAATTAAAGGCTTTATTTGTAGGCCAAGCCCGACCCATTTTCAAAAATAAGAAAGTCTGACATGGCCTACAGGTCTTGTAAGCCTCCCACTATATATATTAAGAAAAAAAAATAATTGTATAGAGCAAAAAAAGTTTCATTCATGCATGCACCAGTACTTCTCATAAGAAAAAAATGACAAACAAGAAAGAGTCAACATAATACCTCAGCTCTAGAATGTATATCATAGAGGAATAGAGTCAAAGAAATGAGAAAAATACAATTACTGGATGCTGAAATAAAGTCTACAAGAGAATGTCATTCATCTAAAAATCTTTAAACCACCATCAAGACAAGGGAAAGAAGAGTATTATTGAAAGATCTTCATCATTAACATCATAATCCAGCAAGGTACCTATTGCTCCATGGTATTAAGCTGTAGCATGTAAAATTTGGAGACATTAGACAAGTTTTCCTTTCATAAAATAAAATAGCACAAAAAGTAAGAAATATTAGTATTTGGTGCTTTGTGTCTTTGTCACATAAAATAAATATTATTTTATTATTTTATTTTAATAAATTAAATAGACCAGCCTATAAGGCTGTATGACGAGCTTGACAAAATTGGCCTATGACCTATTTATTAAAAAAACTTTTTTATAAGTCTAAGCCTACTTTACTTTTCTGAAAGGTCGGGTCCGGACTGGGCTCAATGTAGGCCGGGTCGTAGGCTGGGCTGGGCTAGCCTGACCTATTTACACCCCTAATCTGAGTGTCTGATTCTTATGACTCAACATTTTCAAACAATATTAATGCGTAACCTGTAGGTTTTTTTTTTTTTTATACAATTGTGAAATTAAAGTTTGAGTCTATAATTTCATATAAATTAACGAATTTTTTTATTATTAGGTCAATTCTAATGGCTTATAAGGTTTTGTTACTTGTTACTTTGCATGGTATTTAAACGTGGTATTAATGTGAAACTTTCATTTAGGGCCTGTTTGGATGAGCTTTTAAAAAAATGACTTTTTATGCATTACTTTTTTTTAATAACTTTTTTTAAAAGATAAAGTTATTTTACATTTGGATGTATGATCTGAAAATCACTTTTACATACTTGGTACCACCGATCTAGGGTGTTCATCAACCGATCCAAACCGATTCAAACCGCAGAAACCGAACCGAAAAATGGATAACCGAATAAACCGAAAACCAACAAATTGAAAAAAAAAAACACAAATTTTAATTGGATTGGATCGGTTTTTGGACGGATTGATGAAAACCGATCCAATATATTAATTCTCCTCTACCTACTTGGTCTTTTCCCCAATCATAGCTCAAAAATTTCTAAACCCAAGACCCATTAACTCGTCAACTAAATCCAAGAAAAAATCTAGTCACGTCTCATCAACAAAATTTCATATGTGTAGAGCTTCATATCTCATTGTCAAAAAAAAAAACCATAGTATTTGTTTACTGGTATTTTTGTATTTAAAAAAAAAATTTACAAAACCAATATATACAAAATATGTTATTTGCACAATAATCATGAAACTAATTTTAGGATATTCAAAAAACCGAAAACCGATCTAATCCAAACCGAAAAAAATTGGATTGGATCGGATTTGAAAAAAAATACAAACCGAATGGATGATTACATGATCAAACCGAAGAGATTGGATCGGATGAATTTTGCTTCCAAAACCTATTCAATCCAGACCGCGAACACCCCTAGTTTGGATGTTAAAATAAAAAAAAAAACACTTTTATATATAAAATTACAATAAATAAGAGTTAAAATAGCATGATCATGAGATAAGGAGATATAAAATAGGTAGTGCTATTGGGGACAAAATGGATCTTTCCTTAATAGGGATGAATATATTTTATCCCTAATTTCATCCATAATTTTAATTTTTTCCTAAATTGTTCAATAAATCATCAATATCACATAACCAATGTTAGGCAATCTAAACCTGGTAGTATTTATAAACATATAAACCATCATAGTCATAACTGTGCAGTAAAAATAATTAAATTATAGAAAAATATTTAACATTTTAGTATTACTTGATTTGTTGTAGCAAAAAAAAGTTGAAAGGACTGGACAAAATCTTGTTTAACTAATTTTTACTGAAAAATCAAAGCAATAATTTTTTCACTTATACTAAAAGTATTACTTAATAATGAATATCATTATTCGAAGATATAATAAGAAGCTATGACTTTAGTATTTTTTATATAGAACCAAATGCTCAAGAATTAATGGGAAAATAATTAAAACTTTGCTTACATTTCACTTGAATATTTGCACGTAAATATTATTTTGTTAAAAAATTAAATTATGAAAATATATTTCATATAAAATATTTTAAGAAAGTGTTAAGTATTTATTTATTTTTTTAATTTAAATGCATTGTATTCGAAAATAAATGAATTTTTTAAATTGTAATTTTGCATTACTCCTGAGTTGTCCTTAATGCATAGAACTTTTAACCTATTATATGGGCTAGGGCTTAAGGGTGAGTTAGTCCATTTTGACAACAAATATTGACACAAAATATCATTTTATCTAAATAAAGTTGTGTAGTTAATCTATTATAGAGTTGAGGAACAACTTGAAGATTTCTTTATGAAGTTATTCAAGACAAATATATTACAGAAACTAAAAAATATAATTGGTATGCAAATTCGAGTTTGAAGTGAAGTGTTAGAAATCCAAAATTTAATTTTACCTTCTCCATCTGAAATAGAAAACAAAGTGATTTGTGCATCTACATCGCCATTCTAGCTTTGGAGAGTTGTTTGACCCCATTAGGGTCTTTTCTAGGAGCGAACTTTTGGTGCGACGGTAGCATGTACGACTTCCTTTCAAAAAATTTCACCTTGGACTTATTTTTTCTTTTTTTCATTTCACTTTCACATTCTCTCTCTATTCTTGATTGGTTTTCTTCACTGAGTAAATGGTACCACCGTTGTACCTTAAAAATTTCCCTTTTCTAAGCCATTTACCACATTTGGTATGTCATTAATTTTTTTTTTTCATTAGCGGGCGTTTGATTCGCGACTTATCGCTTGCAAAATTACGTTTTAATTTATTTTTTAAAACACTTTTTAATGTATTTCCTTTACTCATTTCTGCGGACATTATCCTACAGAACTCTTAATTTTTTCCTTCCATACCAGTTTTACCCAACTCTCCCATCTTCTGCGGATTTGGTTTGAATATAACTTTTTCCCATTTCCCCACTAAATGGTACCACCGTTGTACCTTAAAAATTTCCCTTTTCTAGGTCATTTACCACATTTGGTATGTCATTAATTTTTTTCATTAGCGGGTGTTTGATTCGCGACCTATTGCTTGCGAAATTACGTTTTAATTTATTTTTATTTTAAATACTATTTAATGTATTTTCTTTACTCATTTCTGACGTCATTATCCCACAAAACTCTTAATATTTCCTTCCATATCAGTTTTGCCCAACTCCCTGATCTTCTGCGGAATTAGTTTGAATATAAATTTTCCCCACTAAATGGTACCACCGTTGTACCTTAAAAATTTCCCTTTTCTAGGCCATTTACCACATTTGGTATGTCATTAATTTTTTTTCAATAGCGGGTGTTTGATTCGCGACCTATTGCTTGCGAAATTATGTTTTAATTTATTTATTTTTAAAGCACTTTTTAATGTATTTCCTTTACTCATTTCTACGGACATTATCCCACAGAACTTTTAATTTTTTCCTTCTATACCAGTTTTGCCCAACTCTCCCATCTTCTGCGAAATTGGTTTGAATATAAATTTTCCCACTTCTACACTAAATTGTACCACCATTGTACCTTCAAAATTTCCCTTTTCTAGGCCATTTACCACATTTGGTATGTCATTATTTTTTTTCATTAACGAGTGTTTCATTCACGACCTATTGCTTGCGAAATTACGTTTTAATTTATTTTTTTTTAAACATTTTTAATGTATTTCCTTTACTCATTTCTACAGACATTATCCCATAAAACTCTTAACTTTTTCCTTCTATACCAGTTTTGCCCAACTCCCCCATCTTCTGCGGAATTGGTTTGAATATAAATTTTTCTCACTTCCCCACTGAATGGTACCACCGTTGTACCTTAAAAATATCCCTTTTCTAGGCCATTTACCACATTTGGTATGTCATTAATTTTTTTTCTTTAGCGGGCGTTTGATTCATGACCTATCGCTTGTGAAATTACGTTTTAATTTTTTTTTAAAACACTTCTTAATGTATTTTCTTTTACTCATTTCTGCGGACATTATCCTACAGAATTCTTAAATTTTTCCTTCCATAAGAGTTTTGCCCAACTCCCCCATCTTCATCGGAAATGGTTTGAATATAAATTTTCTTCACTTTCCCACTAAATGTTACCACTGTTGTACATTAAAAATTCCCCTTTTCTAGGCCATTTACCACATTTCGTATGTCATTAATTTTTTTCATTAGCGGACGTTTGATTCGCGACCTATCGCTTGCGAAATTACGTTTTAATTTTTTTTTAAAACACTTTTTAATGTATTTCCTTTACTCATTTCTGCAGACATTATCCTACAGAACTCTTAATTTTTTCCTTCCATACCAGTTTTGCCCAACTCCCCCATCTTCTGCGGAATTGGTTTGAATATAAATTTTTTCCACTTCCTCACTAAATGGTACCACCGTTGTATCTTAGAAATTTCCCTTTTCTAGGCCATTTACCACATTTGGTATGTCATTAATTTTTTTTCATTAGCGAGCGTTTTATTCGCGACCTATTGCTTGCGAAATTACGTTTTAATTTATTTTTTAAAAACACTTTTTAATGTATTTCCTTTACTCATTTCTACGGACATTATCCCACAGAACTGTTAATTTTTTCCTTCCATACCAGTTTTGCCCAACTCCCCCATCTTCTGCGAAATTGGTTTTAATATAAATTTTTCCAACTTCCCCACTAAATGGTACCACAATTGTACCTTCAAAATTTCCCTTTTCTAGGACATTTATCACATTTGGTATGTCATTAATTTTTTTTCATTAGCGGGCGTTTGAATCGCGACCTATTGCTTGCAAAATTACGTTTTAATTTATTTTTTTAAAACACTTTTTAATGTATTTCCTTTAGTCATTTCTGCGCACATTATCCCACACAACTCTTAATTTTTGCCTTCCATACCAATTTTGCCCAACTCCCCCATCTTTTGTGGAATTGGTTTGAATATAAATTTTCTCCACTTCCCCACTAAATGGTACCACCGTTGTACCTTCAAAATTTCCTTTTTCTCGGCCATTTACCACATTTGGTATGTCATTAAGTTTTTTTTCATTAGCGGGCGTTTGATTCGCGACCTATCGCTTGCGAAATTATGTTTTAATTTATTTTTTTAAAAACAGTTTTTAATGTATTTCCTTTAGTCATTTCTGCGGACATTATCCTACAGAACTCTTAATTTTTTCTTCCATACCAGTTTTGCCCAACTCCCCCATCTTTTGCGGAATTGGTTTGAATATAAATTTTTCCCACTTCTCCATTAAATGGTACCACTGTGGTAGCTTAAAAATTTCCCTTTTCTAGGCCATTTACCATATTTGGTATGTCATTAATTTTTTTTTCATTAGCGGGCGTTTGATTCGCAACCTATCTCTTGCGAAATTACGTTTTAATTTATTTTTTAAAAAACACTTTTTAATGTATTTCCTTTACTCATTTCTGCGGACATTATCTCATAGAACTCTTAATTTTTTCCTTTCATACCAGTTTTGTCCAACTCTCCCATCTTCTGCGAAATTGGTTTGAATATAAATTTTTCCCACTTTCCCACTGAATGGTACCACCGTTGTACCTTAAAAATTTCCCTTTTCTAGGCCATTTACCACATTTGGTATCTCATTAATTTTTTTTTTCATTAGCGGGCGTTTGATTCTCGACCTATTGCTTGCGAAATTACGTTTTAATTTATTTTTTTAAAACACTTTTTAATGTATTTCCTTTACTCATTTCTGCGGACATCATCCCACATAACTCTTAATTTTTTCCTTTCATACCAGTTTTGCCCAACTCCCCCATCTTCTGCGGAATTGGATTGAATATAAACTTTTCCCACTTCCCCACTAAATGGTATCACCGTTGTACCTTCAAAACTTCCCTTTTCTATGCCATTTACCACATTTGGTATGTCATTAATTTTTTTTTCATTAGCGGGCGTTTGATTCACGACCAATTGCTTGCAAAATTACGTTTTTTTTAAAACACTTTTTAATGTATTTCCTTTACTCATTTCTGCGGACATTATCCCACATAACTCTTAATTTTTTCCTTCCATACCAATTTTGCCCAACTCCCCCATCTTCTGCGGAATTGGTTTGAATATAAATTTTCTTCACTTCCCCACTAAATGGTACCACCGTTGTACCTTCAAAATTTCCCTTTTCTAGGCCATTTATTAAATTTGGTATGTCATTAATTTTTTTTTCTTTAGCGGACGTTTGATTCATGACCTATCGCTTGTGAAATTACGTTTTAATTTTTTTTTTAAACACTTTTTAATGTATTTCCTTTACTCATTTCTGCGGACATTATCCTACAGAATTTTTAATTTTTTCCTTCCATAAGAGTTTTGCCCAACTCCCCCATCTTCATCGGAATTGGTTTGAATATAAATTTTCTCCACTTTCCCACTAAATGTTACCACTGTTGTACATTAAAAATTTCCCTTTTCTAGGCCATTTACCACATTTGGTATGTCATTAATTTTTTTTTTCATTATTAGGCATTTGATTCGTGACCTATCGCTTTGCGAAATTATGTTTTAATTTATTTTTTAAAAATACTTTTTAATGTATTTCCTTTACTCATTTCTACGGTGACTCTTAATTTTTCCTTCCATACCAGTTTTGTCCAACTCCCCATCTTTTGTGGAATTGGTTTGAATATAAATTTTTCCCATTAGTTCAACTGCCCCCTTTCGGGAACTCGCAAAGCATGTCAAGTGACATGATCTCAACTATGTAGGTTCGTAGTTCAAAAATATTTTTGGTGTTCCAGAATCGCGAAGTATTCATTATTTCTTTGGGATATGATATTGTAACAACCAAGTTAGGTTACTACCAATAATTTCACTGTTAGATTAGTTTTTTGATCTGACGGTCCTGTGGTAATCCTTATATACCCTTTCTTCCCCCTTCTCTCTCTGACTATACAATCTGTCGCTGTCGCCGCTCATCACTGACTCCACTTCCCATTGTCGACGCCGCGCAGCTGCCCATCACCACCGTCGCGCCGCCGCACTCTACCGCCGCCGCCGCTGCCCCTTTCAATCTACCGTCGTTCATCCCTCTCAGATTTTTGCGCTTCTCTCTCTCTCCCCTTTTCTCTTTCTACATGGATTCCACACATTTTTGATATTTGAATTATGCTGATTTTTTGTTTATCCTCTTCCAGAAAACAAAGTTGAAATTTTGATGTGTGAGATTTTTCTTGTTTGTCATTTGGTTACAAGCAGAGGTAATTTTTTAATTTATTGTTTGAATACTAGTATGTGAATTTCAATGATACCTAGTAACGAAGGATCATCACTATAACTGCCAAGTGGTTTTTTTTTGTCCTAGAATAGAGGTTATGGCGCGAGGGCTACTCCTATTATCTTCGCCAACTTTCACTGCAACTTCTGTATTAATTAGCTTCATTCTCTAAAACCCCACCAAAAAGTTTTAAGCTTTCATTAGGTTCCCATCTTCTACACCATCATTCTCATCCTCAACCTTGCTCTCTTCCATTAACTTGTTGCTTCTGCGTGTCCTCTTCTCCTTCCGAGCGGCGGCGGCAGAGAGAAGGGGGACGAGAAAGGGTATATAAGGATTAAATCAGAACCGTCGGATCTAAAAGCTAATCTAACGGTGAAATTATTGGTAGTAACCCAACTTGGTTGTTACAATATCCTATTCCTATTTTTTTTATCAAATATAATAAAAAATAACACTTTTATAATATCCTTGCCTTTATATTTATTTCTATCCATATCCCACAGTTTTTCATTTTTGGCAAAGATATGTATTCCAAAATCCCAGACTTCCCTCTACAAATACCTTTGCTTCCCTCGTTCTCACGTACAAGTAACTACTACCATTTCTACCTGCTTAAGTTACTTTGTTATGATTACAAATAAGACAAAATAAACACACAAATAATGGTAGTTTAGTTGGTGGGGATGAGAATGTATTCGATCGGTATCATTTTTAAGAGAGATTTAAAATCTTAATTTCGGGAGCCACACCAAATTGGATTAATCGTGAAATAATAAAAAATGACTGAGCATTGATTTTTTTTCTTCTAACTCTCCCGTAAAATTATACAACTCACCTAATTATATTTATTTTATTTTAATTAATAATATTATATGAGTTTCACCTATTTTAATTTTAAGATTCGCTTTTTCTATAGTTATTGCAAATAAGTTATATGCAATAAACCTAATACGACGTCATTTTAGGACGGAAATCATAGTATTTTTGTAATTTTAATTTATTTCAAGATTATCATAGTCTTTATAATTATAATTATTTAATTTTTTAATCCTAAAATGACGTCATTTTGAAAATAAATATAGATAACTTATATGCAGTAACTGTAAAAATATTATTCTGTTAATTTTAATAAGAAATAATCTAGGAAAAAACTACTCTTATGTTACATGTGATAATTTTCTCTCCTACACACCATTCGATAACTGTGCCACCTTTTTTTTTTTCATGGAGCCCACAAATTTATCTTTATGAAATAAGATAACTTATTTTTTTTAACATGAGATTAATAAAATTTAATAATCTATTAGTGGATAATGTGTCCTTTATTTTTAAAAATTCTGTTAATGAAAAGACTATTTAAATGGCGGCGTTGATATCCATGCTCGGCGTTTTACAATTACAATGACATAAGCAAAAACTTTCATGCTCTCTCAGCCTAAGACTCCAACAAAATTAAAAATAGAGAAAAAAAGAAGAAGCTGGAAAACCGTTGGGCAGAGTCTCATAGCGATAGCCATAAGCAAAATATATATAAAAAAATAAAAAAATAAAAAAAATAAAAAATGAAAAAATTAAATCTTAGACTCACTCCTTTCGTTCTTCACCTCTGACTCCGAGGTTGTCTGTCGCTTAGAGAATACAATACAACGTTACACTTTCCGAACGTCCTCAGAATTTTCGTAACTTGTTCATTCGTTTCAATCCAAAAAAAAAAAAAACGTAGATTCAGATAAAGTCTATGTTCGTGTTCCACTTCCAATGATTCTTCTGAATCATTGCTTCATGGTCTCTTGCAGATGAGACTACACGATGAGCCTGAAAAATCACGCCTTGTTTTTTGGGACTAACCTTCATGGTTCCTTGGAAAGTAGCACCAGCAAGAGGAACCCTTTTCATTTGGAGAGAAGGAAGTTGCCAAAGAAGGGTCTTTGCAGTTGGAGGTGCTGCGTGTCCGCAGAACATTCTCATTTGGTAAGCCAAGCGTTTAGGTTTTCAAATTTTTGTGGGAAAAATGTGAGGTTTATGAGAAAAGACGTTATTTTGAGAAATGGGTCAAGGTTAGAATGTGGCAAGGAACCCTTTTTTAAAAGTGAGACTTTGGTGAGTTCTTTGAGCCCTTTATGGAAAGAGGGGCTTCTTTTGATAAGGGCCACTGTTTACACTGCTGTTATCTCTGGGATATGCATGTTGGTGTGGTATGGGCAGAATAAAGCTAAGGGTTTTATTGAAGCCAATTTGTTGCCTTCTGTTTGTTCAGTAATCAGTGAACACATTCAACGTGACCTTGTGTTTGGCAAGGTTCGGGGAATCACGCCATTGAGTATTACATTGGAGTCATGCTCATTTGGTCCTCATAAGGAGGAATTTTCTTGTGGTGAGGCTCCTACGGTTAAGCTTCGCCTCCGCCCTTTTGCAAGTTTGAGTAGGGGAAAGTTGGTGGTTGATGCAGTTTTGTCACATCCAAGTGTGTTGGTGGTGCAGAGGAAGGACTATACTTGGTTGGGAATACCATTCACTGAAGGTGGCAAAGAGAGGCACTTCTCAACTGAAGAAGGGATAGATCATCGTACAAGAATCCGGAGGCTTGCACGAGAGGAAGCTGTTGCTCTGTGGGAAAGAGAGAGGGATGATGCAGCTAGGGAAGCTGCTGAGGTGGGTTACTTTGTTTCTGATTGGACTTGTGGTCTATCCCAAGGCGATGGTTCAAAGGATATTGAAACTCATTCAACAAAATCTACTGAGACTGCACCCTTTTTCTGCATGAAGGATGGGAAGCACGATCATCGGTTCATGGACTCAGGTGTTGATTATGATGTTAAACATGCAGATTTGGAAAAATCATTTAGAGTTGGATTTCCTGTGTTAGGACTTCAATTTTGGTCTAGAGTAATAACAGGGCGTACAAAACACAAATTTAAGCGGAAGGCTAACGGGAGTAACATCTGTGCATCTGCTGTTGCTGTCAAAAGAAGAATGTTTGAACGTAGTGCATCAGCAGCTCACACATATTTTCATGATCAATCACGTGGGAAGTTTGGGGAGTCTTCATCGTCTTCTGAATGTTTTCATTTTATGAATCATGATATGCATTTGGTGAGAAGTGAGGTTGACAGAAATGCAAAATCTGTTGCCATTGCTAATGAAAATAGAAGTGATAGTAACCAAAGTGGAACACAATTCAGAGATCTGGGAATCCAGTCTCATTCAGTAAATGAAAATGTTAGCGGTAATTCAGATTGTTTTAAAGTTGTCAGCGATCCAACTTCACAGAGAAGAGAGAGTAAATTTGAAAATTTGCAATCTAGTGAGGATGTTGCAGAACCTGCTATTATTAATAGTATTAAAGAGAAAAATAAGGAGTTCGTACCTCATGTTGCAGACAATCATATTGACGATGATAGTTCGTCTGGGGGCCAACAAGGTTTGACTTCTGAAGATTTGTTTTTTGTGAAGCCTAAGCCTCGATTGGCGAATTATTTTCAAATTCCATTTGAGCCCTTGCTTGTGAAATTTGGCTTAACCTCATTTTTAAGAAGTATTGAGGAGTGGATATCTTGCTTTCTTTCTGGTCCCATTGAAAATTTGAAGTCTGATGTGGGTCTGAAAGTTGAAGATATTGTTGGAGAACATGTTGATGGAGTAGATTTTGTGCAGTCTGAAGGCATTACTAAGATGCTTCCTGTTACATTAGATTCTGTTCATTTCAGAGGTGCAACAGTGATGCTACTTGCATATGGTGACAGGGAAGTTAGGTGAGAGCAGATCTTATCATTTACTTTTTATTCTGCAATCACTCTGTGAATGAAGTGATGGACACACCTCTCCACCAGCTTTTTAATTTTATCTACATACTTAGAGAGTTTCTGTTTGATTCTCTTCTAGAAGTGTATGAAATTGACTCAGATATTATCAGATAGTCAGAACCCAGAAGTATGAAGAATTAATGTTTTTTGTATTGGATAGAACATTCTTTAAGTGCCAGGCATAGGATGTTTAAATACCCTAAATCAAGCTACTGTAGGTCTTTATCTTCAGTTGCTCCAATGTGTTTGTGTTTCTTTCAAGAATTTATTAATATATATATTTTACTTTTTCGTTTTCCCTTTTTCCATGGGTCAAGCATGTGCATATTCCTGGGATGCAGATGAATATAATGTAATTCATCTTTTGCTTATCTTCTTCTGTCAAATACCCTTGCTGCCATTGAGTTAATAATATGTTGATTATTATTCGGTATATATATATATATATTTGATTATAATTTTGCATTTTAAGTAGGATCTTATGATTTGTGTTTCGGTCACATGACTTATGTGTCTTCCTCTCCTTTCTGATCTGAGGAGGGATCTTGATTTTGACAACCTTGGACATGAGGACACACCAAATTCTGAAAATTGTAGGATATCAGACACACATACATACACATATATGTAAACTTGAAAATTTAAGGAAAAAAGATTAATAATCCATACTATCATGTATATAAGCTTCAAAATCTACAATATCTTGATATATGTCAATGTGACAATACTTGCTATTTTGTAAGCCCCTCCCCAAAAAACATGGAGTACCATTTCTATTGACATTTTTCAAGAAACTTGCTAATTGAACTTGTCATTGTAGAACTTGCCTTGCACAAGTACAAATACAGCAATTTTTTTTTTTCTTTTTATTTTTTATTTTAAAAATTGAACTCGTTCAGACACATGTTTTCAGTGTCATATAAGTGTTTGTGTTGGAAACATGCATGATACACAGACACAAGACCAAAATGGTGTGTTTGTTTTTTTAATTATAGGTGTTTACTCAAAGTTATTGAACATCTTAGTTCTCACTTTTTAGTATTGAAATGGCATCCGTAGTTGGGTTTACTGTTAGATTAACTGCAAATCTTGGGCAGCGTACCTTTTAAGTCGTTAAGGTTCCCAATTTATCTTGCCATGTTGGTATAGTAGACTATTTTATCTATTTATGTCACTTTTGTATCTTAACTTGGAGTCATTGAACTGATTTGGAATTTTTTAATATTTTATGTGAGTTTATTCATCTTGGTTTTGTAGGATAAAAGGACGATATATGAATTTTTTAAGTAGAATATTTTAGATTATTGAGTATAAACTTGTTTGAGAGATGTTATGCTTTTAAATAATAAAAAGATGCTTTTATATTGTAAAGAAAAATCTTACACCAAAAAATGATGTTGGGCGTGAATTTAAGTGATCTTTACTCTTACTTTCAGGGAGATGGAGAATGTTGATGGGCATGTAAAGTTGCAAAACCACTATAGTCGCATACATGTGCAGCTGAGTGGAAATTGTAATACTTGGAGATCAGATATTATATCTGAAGATGGCGGCTGGTTGTCTGCCAATGTTTTTGTTGATACTATTGAGCAAAATTGGCATGCTAATTTAAAAATCGATAATCTTTTTGTTCCGGTAAGGTATATAGAAATTTGAAGTTCCAATATTTCCTGCTTAGGCATTTAAGTTCTGTGGATTGCTTATGTAGTTTGTCTGGCTTGAGTTCTATGCAGCTGTTTGAAAGGATCCTCGAAATTCCAATTACATGGTCTAAAGGAAGGGCTAGTGGAGAGGTGCTTCTCTAACTTACGCTAATTTTTTTTATTTTTTTTATTTGATAGTTTAGGAAGATTATTTTTTATTTGAGTATTGGGGAAGAGTCTTAATAGAATTTCAGCTAAAAACTGTATTTCTGACATCATAATGTTAAAGAATAAATGCTACATTTACTTATATATATTAAGTATAGTACTCGTGATTGGTTTTTATTGGTGCTATAAACCTCAGATCTGCCTCCTGACTGGAACAATTAGTTTGAGTTAAAAAACCTAAGTGACCTGAGCAATGTGAATAATTGGTTGTTGTTGTTTCTCCCTTTATTAACACAGCTCTTCTTTCTTCTGTCAAAACAAAAATGTCTAAAATCAAGTAAAACCAATTGAGTTCAATGGTGCACTTTGGTTTGAATAGGTCATGTTCAACCCTAGAAGATATCTTCCTTAGCTTTTGCTTGGAATTATGGTCTGGCATGGCTAAACCCAACTGGAGTTTCACTATCCTTGATCATTACTCTGATAGTCTGATTATTTGGTTATTTTATTTCCTGTGTTATAATGTTGTTCGTATTTGCTGCTAATACTTTAAAGTTAAAGTCCAGTTTCCTTTGACAATACATATGACCATATGTTGATATTAGTTTTGATCTGTCAATGGAAGCTCTTTTTCCAACTGTTTATAGATTCAACTGCATAGTATTAGTATATTACTTGATGAACTCTTTTGTTATTTCATGGGCATATAAGTACTATATTTTATTTCCTTAGGTTGTGGAGCTTCTAGATATCATGTTACCTCTGGTTCTTCAGATTCTGTTATAATTATTTTGTCGTGATGCTATTATTTCTTGATATAACTTCACCTGTGTAATATAGCGTTACCCTATGTTTAGGTTCACTTGTGCATGTCAAAGGGGGATACTTTTCCAAATTTTCATGGACAGCTTGATGTGACGGGGTTGGGCTTCCAACTATTGGATGCGCCATCATGTTTTTCTGTATGACTTTGTATACTCTCCTCTTTTGACTCTTGAAGTTTCATTTTCCATATGTTTGGTATTCCTTCTTTAGCGTCTTAATAGAGAAAGGTTAGGCTTGGTGTCTTTTGAAAGGCAACTCAACCATTGCATTTGCATACTCATTGCATTTTATATACTTACCAAATGTATGCGTTATATGAAGGCAATACATGAGTGATGAACTTATGTTTAGGTCCCTTATCTATCCTGAAATAATAAATGAAAAATATTAGAAGTGCTATTTATGAGTTAAGAGCAGTTGCAGTACTAAAAATAATATATTTTCTCTTTATCCTTTGTCAAATAAGGACTTGTTTGAAACTAGGAAGGAAGTGGCTACATTTGTATGAATAATTGCCCTTTCTGGTTTGATGTGGTGCCTTGATTTGTAATCTAAAAATAAGATTTATTGGGAGGCAAAAAAAAGAATTTTGAAGGTTTTGAGGGGTCCATTCTGACACTTTTTAGTTTGAAAGTTTTAATTTCATCAATTGCTCTTGATGGGGTTCTCTTTTATAATTTCATTTATTTTTTCAAATTTAAATAGTAACTTTTGTTAGTTCTCATTCTGTATGATAGCTATAGTCTATATATAAGTTGCTCATCTTTGCTATTACTAATCTACTCTGATATATCACATACATCCCTACACACATGATCCCTTCAAGAGCATGAACCTTTTGATATCTTTATTTTACCTGTTTACTTATTTTTACTGTATTGACATGGTTTTTTTCTTCTCTTTTCTTTTTTTTCCGCCGGGGAGGGGGGGGGGGGGGGTTGTTCTTTGTGGAGTTATTATTCCAAGCTAGGGAAGGGGGAAGTGAACCGCACTCCCAAACTTTGGTAGGGACTTAGGCTACCACTGAAACAAAGCGCAAGTGGCAATGTGCTATATTCATTTATTTTTTTCATTATATGTTAGCTTTCCTTGCCCTACTCATCTAAGGTGGTTTATTCATGCAAGGAGATAATCCACAAAGGCTTTAGTGAGATGATTGTATCAAATGGAAAATAATATGATTAAAAGTGGTAGAGGTATTGTAAGATATAAAAAAGAGTTTTTGTATAGATTATTTTGATTAGGAGATATTTATACAAGTGGAAAAAATGAAAAAATAGATAAGAAATCAGCAATGAGTCGTCAGTCCTATCCTATAATGACTCAGCAAATTCAAAAATTCAAATATTCTAATTTCCTACACTCCTCCTCAAGTTGGGAGGTACATATTGATCATTCCCGACTTGCCAATCAGGTCTTCAAAGGCTAGCCGGTATAGGCCCTTAGTGAGGATATCCGCAGTTTGCTCTTTAGTAGGAATATACATTATACACACACTTCCATCATCTATTTTTTCTTTGATGAAGTGGCGATCAACTTCCACGTGTTTTGTTCGATCATGGTGAACAGGATTTTGAGCGATGCTGATAGTTGCCTTTTTGTCACAATAGTTTTATTGGTAGGGAATATGAGATCTTCAACTCTTCAAGAAGTCTTCTCAACCAGATTCCCTCACAAACTCCGTGGGCTAAAGCTCGAAATTCAGCTTCAGCACTGTTTCTTGCGACCACTGTTTGTTTCTTACTTCTCCAAGTCATTAGATTTCCCCACACATAGGCGCAATAGCCGGAAGTAGATCTTCTGTCCACTGATGAACCTGCTCAATTTGCTTCAGTGTAGATTTTAATCGTCCTATTATACCTCTTTTTAAAGAATAATCCTCTGCTTAGGGTGTTCTTGAGGTATAAGCACCCTATAGACTGCACTTAGATGTTTCGCCTTGGGTGAGTGCATGAATTGACTAACCATACTCTCCGCAAAGGCAATGTCAGGTCGCGTGTGAGATAGATAGATTAGTTTGCCAACCAGTCTCTAATATTGCTCTTTGTTCACCTTGTTCCCATCTTCAAAACCTAACTTGGTGTTAGGCTCCACAGGTGTCTCTATCGGCTTACATCCTAACATTCATGTTTCTAGCAAAGGATCTAGAATATACTTCTTTTGTGTGAGAGTGATGCCTGTTTTACTCCGAGCAACTTCCATATCAATGAAATATTTAAGAGTTCCAAGGTTCTTTAACTCAAATTGAGCTGCTAGGTATTCTTTCAAGGAGTTCAATTCCTCACTATAGTCACTTGTAAGAACTATATCATCCACGTAAACAACGAGAATAGGGACTTTACCGTTCTTAGAATGTTTGTGGAAGAGAGTATGATTAGTTTATGCTTGGATGAAACCTATTCCTTTGACAGCTTGTGTGAATTTTTCGAACCATTCTCTAGGGGACTGTTTTAACCCATAGAGAGACTTCTTCAATTTACACACTGATCCATCTCCTTTCTCAAAGCCAGGTGGAGAATCCATATAGACCTCCTCATGTAAATCGCCATTTAGTAATGCATTCTTCACATCTAACTGTTGTAGAGGCCAATCTAGGTTGGCAGCAAGAGAGAAGAGAACTCAGATGGTATTGACCTTGGCAACTGGAGCAAAAGTCTCATAATAATCTATCCTATAAGTTTGAGTGAACCCCTTCGCAACCTATCTTGCCTTGTATATGTTGATGCTATTATTTGCATTGAATTTTATTGTAAACACCCATTTGCATCTCACTGCCCGTTTTCCTTTTGGCAAGTCATTGTCTCCCAAGTTCCATTTCTTTCTAGTGCATTCATTTCTTCAAAGACAACATCCCTCCATTTTGGATCATCGAGGGCCTCATGTATATCTCTTGGTATCTTTGTACTGTCCAACGTAGTGTTGAAAGCACAAAATCCTGGGGACAACTTTGCATACGGAATATGATTATGTAGAAAATCAGAATTCAAATTCAAATATTTTTCCGTTTTTATTTCCTATTAATTAGGAATAATTAAGATTAATTAGGATTGATTGTTTTTTATTAGGATTAATTGTGATTAGGTTTAGTGAGTCATAGCTGAGTCATTCTTATGATTGTGATTAGGTTTGGTGAGTTATAGCTGAGTCATGCTTAGCTATTTTTTCTTGTATAAATACTCCTCATTCCTCATGTAATTATTCAAATCAATATACTGAAAACTTTTTTCAATATGGTATCAGAGCCTGGTTGGTCCTGAGAAAACTCAGCCACCACAACCACCGTCAAACTGGCGGCACAACGCCGGAAAACTCAACCTCCAACCATTATTAAGGTTATTTTTCCTTCCTACAAAGTCCCAAGAGCAAAGTAAGGCTACCAATCATTGTAGAAGGCAAAATCCCAGCTTTCCACCGCCGTCGGAAAATTTTTCCTGCGACATTTCCGGCCAAGATCCGCACCATTCGAAACAGAAGGAGCCGATCTACAAGTTTCAAGAAGGACCATCGGATTCTGCTGAGCCACGCGCTCCCACGCGTTAGAGAAAGGACGGAGCGTCCGCCCTACGCGTTACCACACGCAGCCATGTTGATTGAAAGTAAATTTCCATCCAGCAATGTTGCTCAACAAGGTATAGCGTTCCATGTTGATAATAGTAGTCGATGGATTCTTGATTCAGGGGCTTCAGATCATATGACAGGTAATGCAACCTTATTTTGTTCTTATACCCCTTACTATCAACAATCACGAATAAGAACAGCAGATGGCAGCTTGTCTACTATTGCTGGAAAAGGATCCATTAAACTTTCTGAACACATTACTTTGAACTCAGTCCTTCATGTTCCCTCTCTTACTTGTAACCTTATCTCTATCAGCAAACTTACGTCTGAGTTACATTGTGTTGCCAAGTTTTCTGTCAATGCTTGTGTTTTCCAGGAACAGGACTCGGGGCTGATGATTGGCAGTGCTAGAGAGGAAGAAGGACTTTATTATTTAGAAAAAGATTCTTGCGAAGGAAAAAATTTTGTGAACCACTCGGTATGTTTGTCTGATGATTGTAATGATGTTTTGTTGTGGCATCGTCGGTTAGGACACCCAAATTTCATTTATCTTCAGAAGTTGTTCCCAAGCTTATTTATCAATAAAAATCCCAGTTCTTTTTCTTGTGATATTTGTCAGCTTGCAAAACATTCTCGTGTTTCCTATCCTCCTAGAGTCCATCATGATTCTTCTCCATTTACCTTGATTCATAGTGATATATGGGGTCCAGCCCGTGACAAAAATATCTCTGGTGCTCGTTGGTTTATAACTTTCATAGATGATCACTCTAGGGTATGTTGGGTATACCTTCTAAAGGATAAGTTTGACGCTGCATCCATTTTTAAAACCTTTCATGCTATGGTTCAAACTCAGTTCCAGACCTCTATCCAAATTCTTCGAACTGATAATGGTACTGAATATTTTAATTCTGTTCTTGGAAACTATCTCAGCCAACATGGTATTCTTCATCAAAGTTCTTGTCCTAACACCCCTCAACAAAATGGGGTGGCTGAAAGAAAAAATAGACATATCTTTGAAGTTGCTCGAGCTCTTATGTTTACCATGCATGTCCCTAAATATTTGTGGGGGGAAGCTGTCTTGACTGCAGCATACCTCATCAATCGGATGCCTTCTCGTGTCCTAAATTTTCAATCTCCTTTATCTTGTCTTACCCATACCTTTCCTTCTTTTCGGGCTCATTCTTCCCTTCCTCCTAAGTTGTTTGGCTGTGTGGCTTTTGTACATGTTCCTTCCCATCAAAGGTCCAAGCTCGATCCTAAGTCCATTAAATGTGTCTTCATAGGATATCCTCCTAACCAAAAGGGCTACAAGTGTTACTCATCCTCACTTCGTAAGGTCTTTGTTTCTATGGATGTCACATTTGATGAGAGACAATCTTTTTTTCCTTCGACTTCTCTTCAGGGGGAGTCTATTGGGGTTGATGAAGATAAGTCTTGGAAACCAAATGATTCTGTTGTTTTGCCTTTGCCGTTGGAGACAGGGGGAGTTAATGTGTCAGATAATGGAGATCCTCCTGGGAAATGGGGAAAGTTTTACAGCAGGTGAGAATCACCTCAGGAGACTCTAGACTGCCAGGAT